TGGCCAGGAGGTCAGGGATATGTAGGCGCACATGCAGGAAGGGGGAGGGTTGGGTTGGCCTTCAGCCTGCTCCTCTCCCTCAGTTACAAGCCTCCAATGCCACAGGTGGGGGCACCCTGTGTGGGCCCTTCTGGGCTGAGTTCCTTCCAGGGGTCTTCTGCTAGGGATATTTTGATAATTTGGGGTACAATCCTGGTGAGGAGAATGTTCTAGGCTAACCACAAGTACCTCCTGGGGAGGGAGGTGAGCAGGCCTTCAGGCCTGCTTCCTGGGACCCAGGCTGTGCTGTGACACTGCTCCGTGTCCTGGACCTCAGTCATCACAGCCACCCTACCTCCCAGAGGTGGAAGTTAGGCATGGGTGTGAGCTATCATTGGTCACCCAGTCAGGGAGCTTGGGGCTGGAATGGCCCGGGGTGCTTCCTACATTCTTACCTAGAGAAACTCATTGCCTTCCTCTCCATGGCCCCCCTGCTGAGGAAGGCCATGTGGCAGGGCTGGGAGTGCTGACAAAGGATGTGGGAAAGATAGTACAGAGGCCTTAAAACTCCTGCCCTGGCTGGTGTAGCTCAGTGGATTGAGTGCCGGCCTGTGAACCAGAGTCACAGGTTCGATTCCCAGTCAGGGCACAGGTCTGGCTTTTGGGCCAGGTCCCCAGTAGGGGGCACATGAGAAGCAAGTACACATTGATGTTTCCCTCTCTTCCCTTTCTATAAATAAATTAATTAATTAAAAACAAACAAACAAGCAAACAAACAAACAAACTCCCAAAGAGGCCTGACCTGTCTTTCAGCATTCCCTGAGCCAGCCAGGCACATACAGCCTGCTGGGACAGGTCCCGGGTCAGTAGGGTTCTGCCAAGCTGGACCTGAGGAAGCTGGGCTGCCTATCTAGGGTAACCCTGTGTCCTGCCAGGTACAGAGAAGTGGGGAGCAGGAAGAGCGTGTGCTGGCTGTACTGGTTGCCCCTCTTTCCTAGGTCACTCCCCCTTCCCTGAACTGCCCCCTCCCAGTCCCTTTGGCCTTAAAGAGACCCCACTGGGAGGCCAGAATAGCCAGCTCTCCTCCACTCCGGCACCTTCTCACAGGGCCACTTGCTAACCACCCTGACTTCCTGCCCACCTTCCCTGCTTTTTTCTCTTTTCTCTGCAGAGCCTTTTCACTAACCCCCATCCCTCACCCGATTTGCCCAAGAGGAGGGGGCTGTCTGGCCCACTGCTACGTCCACCCTGCAGGCCGAGTGCTCTGCAGATGCACAGTGTCTGACCTGCTAAATGGATGGGCTTGGGTTCTATCTGGTCATGGGGCCTGGGTGCTGCCCATGGTGGTGAACAGGCCTCATGGGTCTGTACCTCTGACAGCTCTTCCTCCCAGCCAGAGACAGACAGGGGAGAGAATTAGATCAATGGACGTGATAGAAACTCTTGGGAGAAGATAAAATGGGGCCAAGTGACCACCAGAAGTCCAGGGACAGACATCAGGCAGGTAGTAAAGGGGGCTTGGGGCCTGTGCTGAGCAGTGGGTCTTGAGGTCAGACAGATGTGCAGTTAAGTCCCGATGCTGCCACCCACTCACAGCATGTGACCTCGGATAGGCCACTTCCCTCTTGAGCCCAGGTTCTTGGGCTGCAAACCAGCAGGTGGTCTACCTTGGGGGTCATGGAGGGGATTAGGTGAAAGGATGCCCCTGTTGGTGCTGAGCAGAGACTTGAGTGCTGTAGGCTGGAGCTTGCCTGTTGGCAGTGTCCCTGAGAGCAGGCACGGGGTGGCCTCATCCACAGGAGCACGTGGGAGTCCGAGCCCTTTCCCCCAGAGGGACTGAGTATGGGCTTTATATAACCACTGTAACTGCACGCAGGGGGCAAGGGGCAGCCAGGCTGGAGGGGCAGGCGGGTGCCAGCCACCACCTTGGTCCCTGTGATTTGAAGCTCAGGGCTGCAAGTCCCTCCTGTGTTTGCTTCTTTAATTACCAGCCTGCGAACTTACCTGAAGTTTGCAGCCTTGCAGGGGGTTGGGGGCGGGGCAGGGCAGGCAGGAGGCTGTCCAAGCCACGCCTTCTGGTTTGTGCAGCTCAGACTGGGAGGAGCTCTGCCCTTCTAGATTCCCTGCAGCCTGGAGCTGGCAGGACTGGTGCCCCCTCAAGACGCTCCTCTTTATTTTAGTGCCCCTCTTGGCCGAGGAGGAAGTCCGAGCGGCGGTGGGGCACCTGAGCCCAGGATGGCGAGCAGGCGAGTGCCTGGCGGAGTGGCACATGCAACCCAGGACTCCTGGCTCCCACCTCCTGCTGTAGGTGTGGCCCTGCTCCCTCCAGGGCCCATCACTGCCCTGGGTCCAGCTGGCAAGGATGGGGCCAATGGACCACTGCGCATAGTATGCCCACTGGGCCAAGCTGCAGCACCTGGGGGCATTCTCCTCATTCAGCATTCCCACCCCTGTGGGCAAGAGCCTTGCTCTTGTCTGGGGCCTGCAGGGATGGGTTAGGGCTGCAGTCACACCCTCCCCATGCAGGATGGCCCACCCCATACTGGGTGCCATCCCTTGGGGCTCATCCCTATGGATCCTGGAGCAGAAGCCACTGGGCTCTTCTCTGGGCTCTTCTTCCCATGCTGGGGCATCGGCAAGATGGAGAAGCTTCTGTGAAAAGATGACCAAGAACCGTGCCTGGTGGGTGGGGTTGGGACAGAGTGACCTGGTCACAGCTCTAGTCAGAATCTGGGCTGTCGGAGGCCTGGCTAGTCCAGGAGAGGTGGGAGGCAGGTGGCAGGGAGTGCCTGAGAGACCTCTGGAGGGGTGCCTCTGAGCCTTGAGCATGGAGCCCTGCTGGAGGACCAGGACACAGGTGTGTCATGACCAGGGGCTGCAGATGTGAGCTGAGCTGCTGGGGGTGCAGGCTGGCAGGAGAGAAGCCTTGGCCACCAGCTGTAGGAAGGCTGTGGTTTGAGGAAGGGCCAAGGCTGGGCCTTGCCTGGGGGTGGTGGGTGCAGCCTGTAGCCACTCCTGGGACTCTGCCAGGCATTACCTGGGCTTGAACAGTCACTAACCATCTCCTCCCTCTTTCCACAGCCCAGGGCCGAGGCTCGTGTTCAATCGAGTGAATGGCCGGCGGCCCCCCACCACATCCCCATCCATCGAGGCAACCCAGGAGACCTACACACTGGCTCACGAGGAAAACGTCCGTTTTGTGTCCGAAGGTAGTTTTGAGGCCCAAGGGTATGACCTGGGCCACTGGTCCTCTTCCCCACTGTAACCTGACTTGGCAGCTGCCAGAGGGCTGGATTCTTTCTGGACTCTGGGCCTGTTTATCCTGTGACCATCCAGCAGGCTGCCCACTCCCACTTCTGGGCTGTGGTCCAGAGTGGCCACTAGGTTCTGAGGGGGTAGATAGGGCCCCAGGGGCCTAGTTTAGTCTGTCTGCCCTCTCCCTACAGCCTGGCAGCAAGTGGAGCAGCAACTGGGTGGTGGCCCAGCCGGTGACAGCAGTCCGAGGCCTGTGCAGTATGTGGAGAGGACCCCCAACCCCAGGCTGCAGAGTGAGCCCTTCCCCACCCTCAGGAAGTCCCCTCCACTCCCTCCCACCCTGACCCGGTCCCTGCCATGTCCTAGCCCCAGGGGATAGCAGAGGGGCAGAGGGGACTTGAACCTGAGTCACATCTTCACAGTTACCTGCCTCATTTGGAGTTGGGGTGAGGGGCTTGAGGGGAGAGATGCTGACAGGTTGGGAGGCACCGTCACTGCTCAGCCCTCTGCTCTGCCCACAGACTTTGTGCCTATCGACCTGGACGAGTGGTGGGCACAGCAGTTTCTGGCTAGAATCACTAACTGCTCCTAGCTGCTGCCTTGGAAGGAACACTGTCTGTGCAGGCCTGGCTTTGCCCTGTGGCAGGCCCTCTGCAAGGAGAGGACCGTGGCACCCTGTATACCCACTGCTGCGGGTCGTGTTTCCCCTGGGCCGGGCTGGATGCCGGCCACACCTGAAGTGCCAGCTTTGGACTTTTGTACCTTCTGACCCCTTGGCCCAGCTGTCCCAGGCTGCCTGGTGCCAGGGGCTGAACCTGTCTGACCTCAATCCTGCTCACTGTGCCTGGGGACCAGCCCCTGGGGCTGGCATGGTGGAGCTCCAGACTAATAAAGTCAAGAAACTGTCTTTTCAGAGTGGCTCTTATTTGGGGCGGGGCGGGGGGGCGCGGGTAGAGTGTCCTCTTGGCTGTGCCTGGGTGCCCTCCTGTGTCCTAACAGTGGTGCTGGGGCCAGCTCATCTTCCTTGGAGATCTGTGAACCTCACCCTACCCCACCTGACCCCCATTCCTATTTTCTCTCCTTGGTGTTGGCAGGTGCCTAAGCCCAGCTTGGAGGCCCAGAGATGTTATTGTACATAACTGGTCCTGGGGTGGGGTCCCAGAGCCCTAGGATTGGGGCCAGGTCTCAGGACCCATGGTCCTGTTTCCCAGATCTGGTATGGGACAGTGGACAAAGGTGCACCACAGATTTGGGGGAGACCTGGGCTTGAGTGTGGGAGCGGGGGTTGCTCGGTTCTAGGGGCTTCTGGGGCACTGCTTAGCCTGTTGGGCAGCTGAGAGGATGCAATGGAGTACCCAGATGTGCACGTCCCTTGAGAGGGTTGGGCTGTCAGTGGGTGTGGACCGCCCCTGGGGTTGCGTTTCACTTCAGGTACAGAGATGGGCCCCATAACTAGTTAGGAACCTCCCTGGATCCCGTAGCTGGTTGTGCCAGAATCCCCAATAGGGTCCTGACTTAGGAGTGGCCGCAGGAACTTGGGGGCGAAGGCTCTTGCCCCAGGGTACGACTGCGGAGGGGTGGCCAGAGCAGGAGGTGCAGGGCGTTTGGTAGACCCAAACGACTGCAGGAACAGATTCCGGTGCCGCTGGGGTGAGGGCTGTGGCCCCGCGGTCGCGCGGCGTCGCCTTACAGAAAGCGGAAGTGACGCCGTTGCCAGGCGGCCGTTGCTAGGCGCGCGCTGCGTGCCCTGCGTGGGGGCGCGGCGGCCGAGGCGGGAAGTGCGAGTGGCAGTGTCATGGCGCGAGGTAAACTCGCGGCCTGCGGACCTGGGGTGGGGGTCCGGGGTCTCGGGGGCAAGCAGCCCGAGGGGCGGGCGGGGTCCTGCGGCTGGCGCGCACTGAGCCTGCAGCATTGGGCGGGTTGGTGCTGAGAATGGGACAGAACCTAGTACGCACGCTTTTATTGATGTCGACTGCTGGGGGCGTGCAGACCAGGTCCGCGGCCCCTCCCTGGGTCTGGCACCTGGGGCAGGTCCCCACTCTTCCCTGTCCCTCCAGTGTGGCAGCACCCATTCCTCAACGTCTTCAGACACTTCAAGGTAGATGAGTGGAAACGGTCCACTAAGGAGGGTGATGTGGCCACAGTGATGGTAAGTGGGGGGGGGGGGGACCTGGCAGCAGGATGGGTGAGGGCCCTCTTCTCTACCTGAGACACTTAGCCCCACCACCCAAGGGTCATGCGGGCAGCGCCTCTCCTGGTGCTCTCTGACTCTGTGGAGGACACTGACTCATTTTGCTTCTCCAGGACAAGACCCTAAAGTGCACTGTGTATCGTATTCGAGGCTCTGTCTGTGCCAGCAATTACATCCAGCTCCCCAAAACCAGCACCCAGTCCCTGGGCCTGACTGGACGATTCCTGTACTTGCTTTTCCGACCCCTGTCCACCAAGCATTTTGTCATCCACCTGGACTTGTCCACCGAGGTGCTGAGCTCAGGAGCAGTCTGTGGTAGGGGCACTGCACCCCTGGTGTCCTCTTTTGTCTCCTTATGGCCACCCATTGCCACCACAGGACAAACAAGTCATCCGTGTGTCCCTTTCCAACCTGTTCAAGGAGTTCAAGTCCACAGCCACATGGCTTCAGTTCCCCTTCATCTGTGAGGCTGAGACATCCAGGAAAGGTGACACAAAGATGGGGCATGAATGGCATAGGGATGGTCCAGGAGAGGCAGCCTGAAGGTGGACAGGAAGATAGGGCAGGCCCAGAGGCAGGTGGGGCAGGCCCAGACAGGCTCCTCTGTGGCCTGGGTGGGGGCACATGGTTTTGGCCATGGGAATGGGGGCAGGCCTAGGACAGAAGGCATCGTAGGCTGCCTGGTGAGAGGATGGGCACTGCTGACCTTGGCTTGCCTCCTGCAGACCTGACAGGTGTGGCTCCTCTTGGTGCCCGCTGGACCTGCCTGCAGCTGGACCTCCATGACATCCTCCTTGTCTACCTGAACCGGTGCTACAGCCACCTCAAGAGTGTTCGACTGTGTGCCAACCTGCTGGTCCGAAGCCTTTACACCAGTGACCTGTGCTTCGACCCAGGTGAGGGCTGCACCCCATGCCCTGCACTCAGCTTACATGTGGGCTGCTCCAATCCTTTCACTGCCCCCAGATTCTCTGCCCAGGAGAGGCTTTGTCACTTGGTAAAGATGCCTGTGCCATGCTCTCTGAGCCCCTAACTCCCCACCCAGGGAGGTGGTAGCTGGGCAGGTGGTTGGGCGATACCCTGTAGGCGCTTACTGCTGAATCTCACCTGAGCTGGGAGAGGTTGCTGGATGGGCTTCCCTGGACCTGGAGCAACTCTGCTCTTTGTAGCTGTTACTGTTGGTGAGGCCAGGCGGGCAAAGCTGCCTGTTACCCCCATGCCTCGAGAAATGTCATTCCCAGTGCCAAAGGGGGAGAGCTGGCACGACCACTACATCCACATCTGGTAAGCAGCTGTGCCTGTTCCAGGGAGGCTGGCGGGGGAGGGTAGGGTGGCCCCTACACTGACTCCCTCCACCCACCTGAGGTTTCCAAGCGGCAGCTCAGCAGCCTCCGAGCCGGTTCAGAGGAGCTGTTCCCCTCCTGATGCAGGTGGGCCTGTGGGGTGTGCAGAGTTCAGCGGGAGGGGTCCTGGCACTGGGTCTGGGCTGGTGAACCTGGAGGTGGAGTGCCTGCAGGGGCCGGGGCTAGCCTGAAGGTCACCCTGAAAGTCATCCTGAGGCTGTGGGTAGGATACCAGGGGCCTCAAGCTCTCCAGCTGGGAAGGGCTCTGGAGCCTGGGTGCAGTGCTGCCCTGCCCGGTGCCTTTCGGCTCATCCTCCTCAGGCCTCTGCACTCTGCTCAGAAGGTTCTGTGTCTCTTTGCTTTGTTGCAGTCTTCCCAAAGCACGTGCCACAGCTTCTTCCCCCTCGCCTGGTGGCCTTCACCAAGTCCAGGCAGGACAGCCCGTCCTCTGTGGTTCCACTGCTTGGCCCCACAGCCGTAAGTGCCTGTGCTCTCAGAGATGGGGGTAGGGGAGGCGGCCCCAGGGTCTGACGGCCACCATCTCCCTACAGTCCTTGGGGCTCCTTCCAGAGGATGGCCTATCCTGTGAGTGCTCAGAAGTCTCCGTTGTGGGTGGTCCCAATGGCAATAGCCAAGAGCCCCTGGCCTGCATGAAGGCCACTGACAAACATGCTGCTGGCAATGGCCTTCAGATGTCTGTCTGCAAGTTGGCTGTGGTGCCCACAGCCCCAGAGAATGTGACCAAGCACAAGGTGAGTGCACGTTTTGTGGAAGGCAGCGGTTGACCAAGCCATAGAGGTGGGTGGGCCTTGGTGAGGTGTGGGTAAGGGCAGTTGGTCTGTGCCCACCATGGACTGTGTGTGGGGGGCAGATGGGCCTCTGAGTGCCCCCTCTTATCCAGCCCCCTGGCAGAGAGCAGAGCAGAGCAGGAAAAAATCCCTTTCAGCAAAGAATAAGGAGGAGGGGCTGGTGGTTCCTAGCCCCCAACTCCCAGCTCCGAGAGGTCTATGGGGGCCTCGGGCAGCACCTGGGGTCCCTGGAAGGTCTGGCAATGTGGCCAGAATCTTTGCTTCCTGCTGCAGAGCAGCCAACAGAAGCCACCTAGGACCAAGCAGCTTCTTGAGAGGCGGGAACCAGCCCAGTGGGGCAGCCCTGGCTGGATGGGGTCTTGCCTTCTGGGGCCTCACTGTGACTTGGCCTGTTTCAGAGCTTCCTACCGGATCCTGTTCTGAGGCTCAAGGGAGTCATTGGCCTTGGGGGCCACAGCACCAAATGGGTGAGGGGTCCTGTGGTCCTGCTGGGTTGGACAAGTACCACATACACAGAGGGAGACAGTGGTGGAAAGGCCCTGACCCCCTCAGGTTGCTGTGAGGATACCCAGCCCTGCTCACATCTGCACCGTGGCTCAGTGCTTCCTCAGTGACCTTCATTCCCAGGCGTCCCTTTGTTCTCACTATTGCTGGCTGGGTCAGTGTTGGTCTAAGTGTTTGAGCTTCCAGAGACCCTCGAACTATCACCCTTTAGAGCTTTGCTGCAGCCATGTGGGGCCAGTGTGGGCATGGCTTGTGGGTCCCGGTGGGGTGGGAGGCAGTGTGGGAGGGGGCCCTGGGATTATTAGGCTCTCCTGGACGCAGGTTCTAAGACTTTGTGGGCTTTCTGGTTTATCATTGCCTGAATCCCAACATTTCTTGTCCTGCAGACAGGGCTCAAAGGAAGGTCTGCGTGTGTGTGAGTGTGCATGCATGCATGTTCACAAGTCTGTAAGTTTTCTCTGTCCTTTTGGTGTGTGCATCCCATTAGTTCCTGTGGACATTACACAGGGAGGGGTGTACCAGGGTGGGGAGACAGCCAGCCAACCTGTGACTTTAGCCATGGGCCCCCATGCACAGGCCCTGTGGACGAAGGATGGGGCTGCCGTCGTGTACCCCTGCCACGCAGTCATCGTGGTCCTGCGTATTGACACCCGGGAGCAGCGCTTCTTCCTCGGCCACACAGACAAGGTGGGCACCGCCTGGCCCAGGGGAGGCTTGTGCCTGCAGGCCACACAGCTTCTCTTAACCTGCCGCCCCCCAGGTCTCTGCCCTGGCATTGGATGGGAGCAGCTCGCTGCTGGCCTCAGCCCAGGCACGGGCCCCCAATGTGCTGCGCCTCTGGGACTTCCAGACCAGGGGCTGCCTGTCCCTGTTCCGGAGCCCCGTCCACACTGTCTGCTCCCTCAGGTGGGCGAGGGACCTCTGAGGGGGGTGGGAGCCCGCCCTGCTAGCACTGACTGTCTCCTCCACGTTCACAGCTTCTCCGACAGCGGGGCGCTGCTCTGCTGTGTGGGCAAGGACCACCACGGGAAAACGGTAATGGTGGGCCGGGGGTCGATCCAAACCACTTAGGAAGTGGCGTTACCCTGGCCCCAGCGGGAGGCCCCGCCCCCAGCACACTGCAGGGTGTCTTGTGTTTACACTCCTTGTGGACAGAGTCAGTGTCTAAACAACTCGCCTTACTCTCTTGGGCGGGATGTTCTCGTGTCATAGGGCAGCCGGGTTCTATGTCTGAGTGGTGTTTCATGACTGGACCTCTCTACCTGTGGGTCAGTGTTTTCTGTTCATTTTTGCGAGTGAGTCAGCTTCACATGTCTGCAGAAGCCGGTTGGGCAAATGTAGGTCCCCATGGCCCATGGGGGCCACCCTCCCCACGTCCTCCCCAGCCGAGTGCTCAGGCCGGCTCCCGTAGGAGAGAGAAGCCTAGCAGGGCCCAGCGGGGCTGGCAGGTACAGCAGGAGCTCAGCAGGGGCTTGTTGCAGATGGTGGTGGCATGGGGCACCGACCAGGTGGGGCGAGGCGGTGAGGCCATCATTCTTGCGAAGGTGAACACCGACGTCGACATCCAGGCGTTTGAGATTGCCTTTTTTAATGAAACCAGGTAACGGGCCCTCCTGCCCACCTGCAGTGCTTGGATGAGGGCCTGACAGCACCTGGGCCTGGATGGGGGCCAGACCACCGAGCCTGTGCCCTTCTCTGGCTCTGGGCCCCTGTGCACAGCAGCCCAGTCTCCTTAAAGGGATTGGAAGTCACTCGCCCTCACACACCTTTGCAGGATGGCATCGTGCGGGCGAGGCAGTGTGCGGCTGTGGCGACTTCGAGGTGGGGCCCTGCGCTCCTGCCCTGTGGACTTGGGGGAGCATCATGCTCTGGAGTTCACTGACCTGGCCTTTGGGAAGGCCCGGGATGACCGCACGCTGTGAGTGCCGCTCTCCTCCCCTAACTAGTCAGGCCCTGCCCTGTCTGCCCCTTTGGCCCTCACCTGTCACCTTCCTGGGCAGGTACGTTTGCAGCCGCAGTGGCCACATCCTGGAGATGGACCACCAGCGCATGGTTGTGCGGCACACCCGCCGTCTCCTGTCCACGCACACCCCCAGCAGCCCCCTCCCACAAAAGCAGACCTTCAGCTCAGGTAGGTGGCCTCTGCTGTGTGGGAGGAGCGGTCCCGATGCTTACGCTGACACTGCCTGTCCCCCAGGTCCTGGTGTTGCCATCAGCAGCCTCAGTGTCTCCCAAGCTGAGTGTGCCGTGGGCTCGGAGGATGGCTACCTGCGCCTCTGGCCCCTGGACTTCTCCTCTGTGCTCCTGGAGGCGGGTAGGAGCAAGACGGCACCTCACCATTGCGGTCACCATGGGGGGACACATCCCCGGGCCACCCCTGGGCTGGATGGCAGTCACCGGGCTCTGAGGGGCTGCATCCTGACCTCCACCATTGCTGAGCCCGGGAGTGGGGAGTGGGGGGAGCTGCATGTTCCTGTCCACAGGAAGATGGGGCTCTGGCAGTAAGGAAGCGGGTTTGTGTCTGCGGGGCTGGGTGGGAGGTGCAGCCTGGATGTGGCCAGCCTGCCCCGGTTCCCAGCCCACTCCGCTTCGGGCCTGTGAGGTCACCCACCCACCTTACCTGCAGAGCATGAAGGCCCTATCAGTTCAGTCCGCCTGAGCCCTGACGGCCTGCGTGTGCTGTCCACCACCTCCTCGGGCCACCTGGGCTTCCTGGACATACCGACCCGGGAGTATAGTGTGCTGATGCGTTCCCACATGGCCCCGGTGCTGGCCCTTGCCACCGAGTACAACCAGGGGCAGCTGGCCACTGTGTCCCAGGACCACACCGTCCGAGTCTGGGATCTGGCGACCCTGCAACAGGTAGAGTATAGCCAGGAGGGAAGGACTAGAGGGCCACAGGCCACTGACTCGGAGGCCCAGGGGACAGGGCTCAGGCAGGCAGGGGGTGGGGAGGGCCTTTGGCATGCTTTGTGTCCTGAGTTGGGCACCCTCAGGTTTGGGTCACCTAAAGAGAGGCTAGCTCTCAGGTTCCCCTGGCCAGCTGGCAGCCGCCACCCTGCCCACCCTCACACGGCCCTACCCTCCAGCTCTACGACTTCGTGTCACCTGAGGAAGCCCCGTGTGCAGTCACCTTCCATCCCACGCAGCCAGTCCTCTTCTGTGGCTTCAGCAGGGGGGCCCTCCGCTCCTTCAGCCTGGAGGCTGCCGTGGCTCTGGTGGAGCACAGGTGGGTGCCCAGTTGGCCCCCGGCCCCGCGGACGCCTTGGTGGAAACTGGTGGGGCCCCCTGGGGTGTGGGTGGCAGGTGGAGTGCAGGAGGGGTGTCTACAGGACGCTTCCGCCAGGCCCCGCTGCGGGAGGTCAGGGATGGTGCAGCTCAGGGCTAAGGCAGTGGGCATCCCTGTGTGGGCAGGTGTCACCGAGGAACCATCACCGGCCTGGTCGCCAGCCCTGACGGCAGCCTCCTCTTCAGTGCCTGCTCCCAGGGCACCCTGGCTCAGTACCGCTGTGCTGCCACCTGCTGCCGCGTCCTGCGTGTTGCAGGTCAGGCCCCTGTGCCCAGTCCCATCCCAGCTTCCCAACCTTCCCGGCCTTACCTGGGGGGTAGGGCTTGCCTAGTGTCCATTGACAGCAGTAAACTGCCCGCTGGGGCCTCACAGACCCCCAGAACAAGTATGGTGCTAGGGCACACCAGGCCCTCAGAACTGAAGGTCTGAGGTTCTGCACCTGCTCCACCCAAGAAGGAGACGGGCAGCCTGGGCATGAGGCTCACGGGGGTCAGTCCACCCAAGGGCATCTGCCCCTCCCATAGCCAGCCAGGTGGTCATTTTCAGGTCACTCCTGGCCCAGGAGAACCCCAGCTATCCTGGCAGTCCCCGGGGCCCAGGTTTCTTGGCTCTCCGATGCCCAGGCCCCTGGGCTGCTTCCCGAGGTTACGGGCAGATTTTGTGTCTGCTGTGGGCGCCCCATCCCCACCTAGCTGACCACCTGCTCCTGTGCTGCTGGCAGCTAACGTGGTATGCCGGGATGCCCGCCCCAGTGCCAATGCCCTGGCAGTCAGTGGGGACAGCCGCCTGCTGGCCTTCGCGGGTCCCTTTAAGTACACGGTGACCATCATGGATGCAGCCTCACTGGACGATGTGAGTCAGCCAGAACCTTCCATGTGTCCTGTGTGGGCGGGTGGCACCGGCCTCACTGGCAGACCTGTGGGTCTCTCAGTTAGCTGCCACATGGTTCCCCTGGGTTCTGCCAAGACTCGGGGCCTCTCCTTGGCCCCCTGTGGACTGCGAGGGCATCAGGGGGTGGGAGGCCATGCTGACTCCAGAGAAGGCCCAGACCCTGCTGCCCTCACTTGCAGGCACAGAGGATGTGTGTGCCCAGTGTGGGCTGGCCAGGGCACGTGTGGAGGTCGCCCTAGGCTGCCTGCCTCCTGTGCCCTGTCTCTGGGGGTGTGAACTCTGCCCAGAGGTTATGGCCAGTGGCTATTTGCTGCTCTCACCCAGTTGCTGCGGGTTGATATCAGCGCCCCGGACCTGGCCAGTGACCACGTGGACTCGGCTGTGGCTGTCTGCTTCAGTCCCGCAACCCCCAGCCACCTGCTGGTCTCTACCTCATCCAACAAGATTGTGGTGCTAGATGCCACCTCGGGCCGAGTGGTCCGAGTGGTCCGAGAGGTGAGTCCAGGGTCCTGGCTGGCGCTCGGCCTTCCTTTGGTGCCCATCTTAGTGTCCACAGGGCCTCGAGGAGGGAAGGCGCTGGGCCACCTTCCACTCCTAAGACGTGCATTTTCAGAAGGGAAGCTTCCCCAGTTCAGGGAACTCATGTGCTCTGATCTCTCCCATGAGAATGCTCTTTTGCAGCTCTGTGGCGTCCACCCTGTGGTCTGCCCCTCCCTAGCTCTCAGTAGAGATGCCCACTTCCTGCTGACAGCTGCCGACCGAGCCATCAAGGTGTGGGATTACCTGACGCTGTCCAACCCCAGCTGCCAGGTGTGTGCCGCAGGTGGGCGCAGGTGGGCACAGGCAGGTGCATTGGAGGGAGGGTGTAAGGTGACCTGCATGGCCGTACACCTCATGAGGACCTCTTGCCCAGTTAGCAGCCTGGCTAGGCCTGGGCATGGGAAGATAGTGAGGTCTCTGACCAGGCCTCAGAGGTCTCTGTATGTGACATGTGCTGTCCCCAGGTGTACATCGGCCACTCAGAGCCCGTGCAGGCTGTGGCCTTCACCCCTGACCAGCAGCACCTTCTCAGTGTGGGCGATGCCATCTTCCTCTGGGATATCCTGGCCTCTGCTGAGAGGTCGCCCCCAGGAAGGCAAGTGCCCTTGACATGCGTCTGCCAGGCTTCCTGCTGCACCTTCCCCGCCTGACACCCTCTCTTACTGCCTCTGCAGTGCCCGAGGCTCACCTGGGGCCCCCCCACCCTGTGAGGCTGGTGAGTGGTCCCACCACGATGGAACGTCTATGGTGACATCTGGTGCCGGCACTGTAGACACTGGGAGTGGCATGGTGCCACTTCCTCTCCTGGGGGTCCCAGTGCATGGGGTGCGGGGACTAGGCACACCTCCCCCTCTGCGCTTTGCCTTCCCAGGTTCTGAGCACAGCCTGGCCTCTTCTGTCCTCAGGCCAGAATGCAACGCAGCTGGAGGATGCGGTGTCTGGGGCCAAGGGACTTCCTCGGCAGCAGGTGCCCGTGCCATCCCAGGCAACCCCGCCCCAGCTGAGCATCTGTGCTGGGCCCTTGGAGGGCGGTGATGGTAAGGGCAGGGGTCCCGGAGCACCTGGGCAGGCTTGTTTGTACTGCTCCTGTCTGGCATGCTTGGGTGCTGCTCCAGGCCTATGGGGGAGGGGCAGGGGTGCAGGGGGTTCAGTGCCCTCTTCTCATTGCTCCCCCTCCTCCCCAGGTACTTTCTCTGTGTCGGATGAAGAACGACCCTCTGAAGAGAGCTGTGGCACCACGGGGCTCTGCCAGGCCTCAGGCCCACCCATGCTGGTGCAGAAGAAGGCCTGTAGGGCCGGAGACAGGGCCCAGGGGGCTACAGGGGGCCCTTGGGGCCTCAGCATGCTGCCCCACCCCTGTGGCCAGCCCAGTAAGCAGGGTAGGGTGGGGACACCCGTGGCCGGGCCTGGCCTAGGCGCAGGTGCCCATGGGCCCAGACTGGAGTCTACCCCAGGAGATGAGGCCTGGTCATTTAAAGAACAAGTGCATGGGCCTGAGGCCCCTGCTGGGCCCAGCGGAGGGGTGTGGCTCACCTGTGCTCTCTGACTGAGCGTCTCCTGGGTCAGGAGAATGTCAGGGAAGGTATCTCTGAGTTCAACTTCCTGTGAGCTCTTCTTCCTCTCTGTCAGGTGTCCAGGGCACTAGGAGAGCCAGGACCCAGGCCGCTGCCCGCCCGGACTCCTACGTGCACTTCACAGCGCGCTACAAGGCCTCCCTGATGGCCAAGGTTGGCCGGGGGTGGGATTCTCACAGACTGTGCCACAGGTGGACACTCTGGAGGCTTGGGGCTGAGGGTGGCACAACGCTGTGGTTTCTGGGAGCATTTTTTCTCCCTAATACATGGGTCCCCCAGGGTCTCCTTGGGGCTGCTCCCAAAGCTGATGGCAGTCCCTACCTCAACAGTAGCCACCACACAGGTTCCCATCCCCCCTGCACGCTGTGCCATTGCGGCCACGCTGACACTCAGACTGGACCTGGGCAGTGTTCTGCTAAGCCACACTGTGCCTGATGGTCCTGCCTCCCTCCCACCTCCTTGAGTGTTCTGTCCCTAAGAGCCCCCTGGATCTTGCTGCCCCTGCCTGGCCTCCCGGGACGCCAGGGACCTCCCACTTCTCCCACTCCCGCTTCCCTGTTTGCACTCGCAGCTCCCATCCTGCCACGCCCAGACCGCCTCCCTTGTAGGCTTTGAAGCCCATGCCATTGCCATTTGTCCCATTCCAGGAGAATGTGTCTCCTGAGGCTCCTGCTGTTGTCCCATCCCGGGAATGTGTACTTCCCGGGCTCTAGCCAGATGGGACACAGCCTGAGGTGGAGGTGGGGTGGCTGGGTGCTGGGTGCTGGGTCGTACACCAGTGTCCTGGGACCACTTCCTCACAGAATGTCTCCTTCCCCGCTGCTGGGGGCGAGTGGCTGCACCTGAAGGCTGTCGTGGGCTACAATGGGAACGGGCGGGCCAATGTGATCTGGCGGCCAGACACAGGTAGGGGCCACAACCCACCCTGGCTCCCAGCCCCGAAGATGCAGGGCAGAGCCCAGGAGGGCGAGTGAGCACGCACATGGAGGGTGGTTTGGGCTGCGGGGGCATCTCCCTGTCACACCTCCTGTTACTCTAGCCATGCTCTCTGTACCCTCTCAAAGCATTTTCCTGGAAGGGATCAATGTGACCCCCTTGGCTACTGAAACTGGCAGGGTGGGTGACAGATGCCTGCTCTGGGGCGTCCCCCCTCCCTGCAGGCTTCTTCGCCTACACGCACGGCTGCCTGGTGGTGGTGGAGGACCTGCACTCTGGCGCCCAGCAGCACTGGCTCAGCCACTCCGAGGAGATCTCTACGCTGGCTCTCAGCCATGACGCCCAGGTGCTGGTCATGCGCATTATGGTGTGGCTTCTAGGGGCCTCCGGAGCAGCACGGGGAATGCTCTTCTGGCTTCCCATCCACCCAGAGCCAGATAGGCCCCTGGACTGCCCCCATCCCACTGACACCCCTCTCCCTCGCCTGGCCCGCCAGGTCCTGGCCTCTGCCTCAGGATGCGGAGGCGCCGCCTCTGGCTGCCAGATCCGCATCTGGGACGTGCCTGGGGGTCGCTGCCAGCAGCTCCTTTCTCACCACTGTACCGCTGTGCAAGCCCTGGCTTTCTCACTGGATGACAGGCTCCTTGTCACACTAGGTCAGCTGGGGCTGGGGCTGGGGGTGGAGACCAGTGGCGTCTGGACTCCCCAGCCTGTTCTAAGACCCCTGCGCAGCCGATGTGACCACCATGCATCTCCCCAGGGGACTATGGTGACCGAACCCTGGCCCTGTGGAACATGGACACCTACGAGCTCATTTCCTCCACCCGCCTCCCTGAGCCGGTGCATGGCGTGGCCTTCAGCCCCTGGGACGCCAGTGAGCTCGCCTGTGTGGGCCAGGGCACCCTCACCTTGTGGCGCTTACAGCTGTGTGGAGATGACATCAGCTTCCAGGTGCCAGGGTGCAGAGGCGGTTTGGGATGGGATCTGGCTGGGCCCTGGGACGTCACTGACCCACACTGCCCTGAGTCCCTCCAGGTGCACCGGGAGCCCATCCCTGAGGCTGTGGAGGCAGGCGAGCTGACATCGCTGTGCTACGGGGCTGCGCCCCTGCTGTACTGCGGCTCCAATGCTGGCCAAGTCTGTGTCTGGGACACGAGTGCCAGCCGTTGCTTCCTGGCCTGGGAGGCTGACGACGGTGAGATCGGTGGGTGTCTGAGGAGCCCCTATGACCCCCCTCAACTAGGGACTTGGCCTCTCCCCGAGAGCCCCAGTGCTGGGGCAGTCGGACCCTGTCTGGAGTCCTGGGCGTCTGGGGAAGCAGCTCATGCCACCTCCTGCCTCCCAGGAGTACTGCTGTGCTCAGGATCGCGGCTGGTCAGTGGCAGCAACACCAGGCGACTGCGCCTATGGGCCGTGGGAGCTGTGCCAGAGCTGAGGCGCAAGGGCTCTGGAGCCAGGTGAGCCTGTGTGTCAAGCTGGTGCCCTTGGGCTGTAAGCCAGCACTCTGTTGCCCGCTGGGCCTGCCTTCTGTGGGGACATGCTTCATGAGGCCAGGGCAAGAACACAGATGCACCCGGCTCCCTGGGCTCTCATTGCCACCATTCTTAGGACCCACTGCTCCCCACTAGGTCTAGCTCCGTGTTCATGGAGCACGAGCTGACCCTGGATGGGGCCATCGTGAGTGCCGTCTTCCACGACAGCATGGACATGGGTGTGGTGGGCACCACGGCAGGCACACTCTGGTATGTCAGCTGGGCTGAAGGCACCAGTACCCGCCTCATCAGCGGCCACAGAAGCAAGGTGAGGCCACCGGGTCACTGGCTCCTTGTCAGAGATGTCCGAGGGGGTTTCCACCCTGGACCGAGGCAGGGCTGTGAGCCGCACAGTCTCCCCTCCTCTGTGTTGTGTCCCCCTGCCCCCAGTTGTTCTGAGTCAAGCCCAGCTGTTGAAGCGGTTCTCACATAAACATCTCAGGTTCTTGGAATAAGGGTCCCACACACTGGAGAACTGCACGTCCATCTCGTGTTGGCGTGGTCCGCAGTGTCCACTTGTGTCAGCGCCACGGCCCTGGCCTCTTTTCGGTCCTTCCTTTTTTCTGTTGCCTTTTTCCCTCGTAATTTACTTGGTGAAGAAACCAGGTCGTCCATCCCCAAGCCTCCCACAGACAGAGCTGGGCCTGCCTTTCTACTCCCTGTTGCCTGGGGTCTGAGAATCTGGAGTTTAAGCCAGAATGTGGTCAGGGTCAGGGCCGGTTGGAAGCCGTGTCTCCCACCAGGAAGCTAATGGGGGCTGCTTGCCTTTCAGGGCTGCTCTAGTCCCGAGTGACCGGTCACCTGGGTGGGTAGCTGGTCCTGTCCCCTGCGGGCAGGTTTCCGAGATTGGGTTGGTTTTGTCGACAAAACAGCCAGTGTTTACTTCAGGTCTTCCTTTTTTTTTTTAAATTTAATTTTAAATGTTTTATTTATTTATTTTTTAGAGAGAGGGGATGGGAAGGAGAAAGAGGAAGAGAAACATCGGTGTGTGGTTGCCTCTCACATGGCCCCTACTGGGGACCTGGCTGGAAACCCAGGCATGTGCCCTGACTGGGAATTGAACCACAACTCTGGTTTGTAGCCCATGCTCAAGCCACTGAGCTACAGCAGTCAGGGCTGCTTTTCAAGTCTTTAAGAGCAGGTGGGTGTATATGTAGATTGGGCCCCCCACCCCCACCCCTGGTCACTGCTCCCTGAGCCCAGGCTGTGGCTACTGGCAGGTTCTTTGAGTTGGCTACCAAGTTCTTATTTTTTCGGTAATATTTATTTGTTTGGAGATAATGGTGGCCATCAAAGAAATTAAGTTTGAGAGGAGTAAGGACTATATATTTTTTCTGTTGGTTTTTTTTTTTGTAACAGTTTTATATTGATGTATAATTTACACACCATAAGCTTAAGCTGTTTAAAGTCAGTGGTTTTCAGCCTTGACTGGTGTGGCTCGGTGAACTGAGCACTGGCCTGCGAACTGAAAGGTTGCTGGTTCGACTCCCAGTCAGGACACATGCCTGGGTTGTGGGCTGGGTCCCCAGTTGGGGGCGCACGTGAGACAACCAGTCAATGTTTCTCTCACACATGGTTAATTCTCTCCCTCTCTCCTTCCTTTGCCCTCTTTCTAAAAATAAATAAAGTTTTCCTTTTTTTTAAAGGAGTCAGTTGTTTTCAATATATTCACAGGTTTATACAACTATCACCACAATCAATTTTATTATTTACCACATTTTTCGGACTATAAGATGCACTTCCCCCCAAATTTTGGAGGAAAAGGCGTGTGTGTCTTATAGTCTGAATGTAGCTTACCTGGCTCACTGTGGTGGGGGGGGGGGGTGGCAGTGGAGCGGGGTCACAGGTTCTTAAATACTTTACCACATTTTTTGCTTCAAAATTTTTTTCCTATTCCTCTAAAACCTAGGTGCATCTATGGTCCTAAAAATATGCTATTTATTTTTTAAAAGAGAGATTTTTTAAATTTTTACTTTTTAAGACTTTATTTATTTTTAGAGAGGGAAAGGGAGAAAGAAAGGGAAATATCAGTATGTGGTTGCCTCTCGAGAACCTGCTACTGGGTACCTGGCCCGCAGCCCAGGCATGTGCCCTGACTGGGAATGGAACTGCCAACCCTTTGGTTTGCAGGCCACTGAGCCACACCAGCCAGGATGAAAGATTTTTTTTTTTTAGTTTGTTTCTTCAAGATTTTATTTATTTTTAGACAGAGAGGAAGGGTGGGAGAGAGGGAAACATCAATGTGTGGTTGCCCCTCCTGTGCCCCCTAGTGGGGACCTGGCTCGCAACCCAGACATGTGCCCTGACTGGGAATTGAACCAGCGACACTTCGGTTCGCAGGCTGGTGCTCAATCCAGTGAGCCACACCAGCTAGGGCTTTTTTTAATCCTTACATGAGGATATATTCATTGATTTCAGAGAGACAGAGAAATATTGATTGGTTGCCTCCTACCCCAACTGAACCCACAACCTCGGTGTGTGTCCTGACTGGGTACTGAACCCGTAACCCTTCAGTGTACAGGATGATGCTCCAACCACCTGAGCCACACCAGCCAGGGGACCACAATCAACTTTAGAGCATTTTCATCACCCCAAAAGGAAACCTCATATCAATTAAGCACTCACCTCTCATTCCCTGACAACCACGAACTATGAATTTGCCTGTTCTAGACTTTGCACATAAACAGAATCACACACTGAGGTCCTTTCTGCCTGGCTTCTTCCACTGAGCATCATGTTCTCCAGGGTCATCTGCGTTGTAGCATGTGTCAGTGCCTCCTTTTTATGGCCAGACGCCATTCCATGGCATGGGCAGAACACACTGTTTGTCCATCCATCAGGTTGGGAGCACATGGGTCCTGTGTCGTGACCTCAGCTGCTGGTCACTGGTGATCTCCCTCCTAGGGAGTGACATACAGAGGCGTCCAGGCTCTCCTCCGCAGCTCCCTCATGGACTGGCTGTTTCTTCCCAGAGGGGTCCATCGCTTCTCCGCCAGCCAGAGTTAAATTACTATTTTTAAAGATAAAATATATCATGAATTCATACTTACATTTGAAATTTTAATGCAGGACTAGGCCATTTCATTGGCATATGGTTTCTGTGTTCCCTTTTTCCTTCCACACCAAACATTCTGATCCTCAGCGACCACACGCCTCTGTTCTCCCTCAGTGCACATAGGACAGTCTCAGGAAAAGCACCCCCAGGGGTGTGGCCCTGGAGTCTTGGAATGTCCTGGAGTGTGTTTTGTGCCTCCCTCTGGGGATGTGTTGTCCCTTCACGTTTTAGGTCCTTTCAGAATAAGTCTCTGTTGCCCCAGCGAGAGGACAGTCAGGTTCAATGGCTGACAGGCTCCTTGTGACTCGAATTCCATCTGGGTCTTGTGTGGGGGGCTCAGGAGGAGGGTCAGGACGTTTCTTTACGTGGGGGCGGCTGCGGCCAGGTGGGCTTGGGGAGGAGGCACGTGGCCCCGCTGTGTCCTGTTTCTGCCCGAGGGCCAAGTGGCCCCAGGTGGAGCTGCCTGGCTCCCTGCAGGTGCACGAGGTGGTCTTCAGTCCCAGCGAGTCCCACTGTGCCACATGCGGAGACGATGGGAGCGTGAGGGTGTGGTCTTTGGCCACCATGGAGCTGGTGATCCAGTTCCAGGTGCTGAACCAGGTACTCGGGGCACCAGGGGCTGGGGTAGTGTGCTTGGGGTGGGGCCCTGCCTGTCTACTGCAGGGATCTGGGAGCTGCATCCTCCCTTCAGCCTGTGTCTGTCCTCAGCCTTGGGGTCGGGCCACCGTCTCGATCCCCAGGGGAGTGCTAATGTTTCCTCGCTGGGGACCCCCAGAGCTGTCTCTGCTTGGCTTGGAGCCCACCATCCTGTGGGCGCCCAGAGCAGCAGCGCTTGGCGGCGGGTTACAGTGATGGCACGCTGCGGGTCTTCAGCATTTCCCAAATCTCAATGGAGCTCAAGATGCATCTGCACTTGACTGCACTGACGGCCATTGCCTTCTCTGCTGATGGTGAGGGGCCAGGGTCTCACAGGGTGATGGCATGGTCCTGGCCTGGCCTAGGTCACACCTTTGGGCTGGCAGGTCACAGGGTAACAGAGTGTCCCCTGCCTGGCACAGGTCAGACCATCCTCTCTGGAGACAAGGACGGACTCGTGGCTGTGAGCCGCCCCTGCACAGGGATGACCTTCCGAGTACTGAGAGAGCATTGGGGCACTCCCATCTCTACCATCCAGAGCACGAGCAAGGAGGTAAAGTGGCATTGTGAACCAGCAGGGCCCCATCTGGGGGGTACTGGCTGGGAAGGGGTTTGGGCAAAGTGGGGCAGGAGTTACCCACCTGTCCTTACCTTCTCCCCCAGTATGGAGACTTCGGGGTGAAGGGCACAGACTTGTGGTTGGCCGCCAGCAGGGACCAGCGGGTCAGCATCTGGGCCTCTGACTGGCTGAGGGACCACTGTGAGCTTGTGGACTGGCTGACCTTCCCAGCACCCTCGCTCATGAAGGTGAGGGTCCCAGTGGCACCTCAGGTGGGGATGGTGCCTGTCTGCCCCACCACAGCACGCTGTGCCTCTCCTCAGGCTCCAGACTGCTCTCCACCCTCCCTCGCTGCTTTCTGCCCCTGGGACAGGGCACTGCTGGCATGTTCAGGTCTCGGCCCACATCCAGAAGTGGTCTTCTACAGCCTCTGTCAGAAGCAGGCATGTGCACGCCCCCGAGACCCTGGGAAGGGAGAGTCCTGGGCCGTGGGAACCCCTACCTGGTTTCTCACACTCACTGCCTGCAGGTGGTAGAGAAGATCCCACTGCCTTTTTTTGCTGTGTCCCTGAGCCTGTCCTCCAGGGCCTGCCTCATGGCCGTCGGCTTTGCTGGTGAGTGCTGGTGGGCGTTGACTCAGCCTGTCTTGAGTGGGGTTGAGTAGACTGCCTGTGCCCCCACACTGAGACATGCCCCTCACATCTGCACCCTGGCTCTGCATCTCTGAAGTGAGGTACTGAGTACAGCACCCGGCACTGAGCAGAGGGACTCAGCAGCTCAGCTTGGGGCCTTAGAAGCTACATACTGTTGAACACCCTGACAATGATGGGCTCTTTCTTGGTTCTGCTGCCCCAGTCCCAGTGACAGGTGGCGCTGGGTGTGGAAGACACAGGCCATCCAACACTGATTCTCTTAAACTGCACCAGCGTCCAGCTGGAGACAGAGCCAGGGTGGGTGGGAACACCTGGGCCCTGGACTTGCAGGCTCAGGCACAGGACCCACCCCGTACCTTTTGCCCGCAGAGCGAGTGCTGAGGCTGGTGGATTGTGTGTCAGGAGCGGCACAGGACTTTCCAGGCCATGATGACGGGGTACAGCTCTGTAGGTTTGCCCCATCTGCCAGCCTGCTCTTCACAGTGGCCCACAACCAGATCTTGGTGTGGGAAGTCACAGACTACTGAGCCGAAGTGGAGACCTCGGGGTCAAGTATGCGGGGCTGGTCATGCTGGATACCTGGCCTGGGCAGAGGCTCTGCTGAGAAGCTGGGTTAGTGGAGAACCTTGCACAAGGCCAGGAAGGCTGAGGAGGCTTGGCCCCCTCACACTGGATGGGCTCAGGACTCTGTAAATTGTCAAGACCCTGAACATGTATAAAGTGCTTGTTGGCATCGCAGTGCTTTTCTGTGTTTCCACCTGTACAGTTGAAATAAATGTGGGCATGGGCACTGCATTTCGGCCTTGTCTGCTGGTCACTTCAGGCTCCTCCTGCCCTGGACCTGGCTCTCCCACCTGGCTGGAGCTCAGCCTCTGCCCCAACCCTAGACCTCCTGCTCCCTGCCAAGAACTGAGGCCCTGGCCTGTCCACCTGCAAGGGCTATCCTGCCCCTTGGGCTAGTCCTGGTCTAGCGGAAAGCTGCTAAAGCATCGTGGCACCCCATTCCGCCGCTCCGCCCTTCTGTCCGGTGCGGTGCCAGCAGTTCCCGGCGTGCCCACACAGCGGCGCCACCGCGTAGCCCAGCCGCTCTGGCCCTGTAGACTCGCTAGTACTTAGTGCGGCGTACGGAAGAGGCCGGAAGTGCGGGCAGGGGAGAGCGTGGGCAAAGAACCCAAAGCGGGCTCCACGGGAGTCGGGGCTGGGGCAGGGGTCCGGCTGCAGGTTTTGCTGGCTGCTATGAAGCGGGACGTGCGCATCCTGCTGCTGGGCGAGGGTAGGCGCTGGGGGCGGGACTGCGTGAGGGTAGGCACCGGGAGCGGGGCTGGGCCTAGCCTGTGGGGGTGCCGCGACCTTGGCTGTGGCGCTGACCTGTCACCCCGCGCAGCCCAGGTGGGGAAGACGTCCCTGATCCTGTCGCTGGTGAGCGAGGAGTTCCCCGAAGAGGTGAGGATGGTGGTTCTCAGCGCCCCTCTTGTGGTTGCGCAGAGGAAGGGGCGGACTTCCCTGGACCACCCTCACGGCTGGTCTGCTTCAGGTCCCACCCCGAGCAGAAGAGATCACAATTCCCGCAGATGTCACCCCAGAGAAGGTGCCCACTCACATCGTGGATTCTTCAGGTAGAGCCCCCCGCCCCCCGCCCCAGGGTTCTGCCCAGCAGCCGCATTTCGGGCAGGAGGTCTGCAGTGTCATCTCTTCTTCCGTCCAGAAGCTGAGCAGACGGTGGAGGAACTCCAGGATGAGATTCATAAGGTACATGTGTGCTGAGGTCTCAGGAAAAGGGGGAGGGATGGGTTCAGTACTTATGCCCTGGGGGTGGTCTGCTGCCTAGGTCTGATCCTGCTTCTCTTTCTGTGGGATTGGATTAAATTGCTCAGGGCTCCGCAGCTTCACTAATTCTTCTGTCTCAGTACTGAGTCTTTGGGGTTCCTGTGATGCACCCTGCTGGGAGCTGGGGAGAAGGGGACCATCCCTCCCTCCTGCCCCCGCGGCTGGCCAACCCCATAGCTCTCTCCACCCAGCATTTATTCTTTCAGTGGACACTGGGGAACAGATCTTATCCTTCAGAGTGACCCCTTGAGTAGTTATGTGCCCCGGCCACCTACCTGCCCTGCCCCCTTTGTAGTACAGTTCACTGTCCTGGGCTTTGGGCCACAGTGCCATGGCCTGGGCTGCAGGCTGCACAGCCCCTGTTCACCTGTCACCAGGAGGACATGTGCCTGAGCAAGACCCTGGGAGGAAGGTGCACCTGCAGCCTTGCCCCGTTCCTCTGCAGCTTCTACTGTGTCCAAAGGGTGCCACTGGGCCAGGGTTTAGGCCACAGCTACTGAGAAGCAGCCTTCTTGCCACCATTGCCTGTTGTGCTGTTGTCCTCTTCATCTTCTCTGGCCACAGTGACATAGAAGTAGAAGATCAAGGCTAGAGCTGGTGTGCCAAGTTTTGGGGGTGGCTGTGTCTGTCCTGAGCCCTTTAGGGGACTCATGGACCAAAGTTGCAATTCTGGGACCTGGAAGTGAGCAGGGAAGGGCTTGTGTGAACTTTGCACAGCAGACCACCAGTCCCAGAGACATGGCCAAGGAGCACTAGCTGAGGAGTACCAGTGAAAGATGGCTTCCTGGTCTCTGGGCCCAGCCCTGCCCTGCCCTGCCCTGTCTGAGTGTCGGGGTGGTGTGGACAGGAAGCCTCTGGTAATGCTGTGCCATGCTCTCTCCCTTGCAGGCAAATGTGGTGTGTGTGGTGTATGATGTGTCTAAGGAGGTCACCATCGAGAAGGTGAGCGAGAGTGCCTGTTTGTCCTGGGTCCCTGCCATTGGTGCCCAACTGGGTCATCCACTTGTCTCCAGCACAGACCCCAGACAGATGCCCACCTGATGCAGGCTCTGGGGTGACCAACCCATGGCTAGCCCCACCTCTAACTAGTGCTTCAAGGAGCCTCCTGGAGCCACTGTGGGTGCAGGGGACTTGTGGCCAGGGCCCTACAGCTTCCCCGGGGACCCCCTGTGATCCCATCTTCCTGCAGAAAGTACAGACAGCCACAAGTCTGAACCACTTAGGCTTGCAGTGGGGGCTATTCTGAGCTGCTGACCCCAGGTCCTTTTTGGATATTTGGGAATTGCTAGGATGAGATGAGGTCGTATCTATCAGCTGCGCTCTTCACCTGTTCTCAGTGGCTGTGACTTTGGCCCTCAGTGGGCCTCGACTTCCCTCTATCTCCCTTGGGTGGGCTTAAGTTCCATCAGGAGCTGTGGGCTGGGCAAGCCCCCTCACCTCATGCCAGCCCTTGCCTTTCAGATCCGAACCAAATGGATCCCACTGGTGAATGGAGGGACTGAGCAGGGGCCCAGGTAATGAGTAGGACCCAGGGGGACTGTTCTCCTCCAGCTCCCTCATCCTAGATGACCATGGGCCTCCCTCCAGGGTCCCCATCATCCTCGTGGGCAACAAGTCAGACCTGCGGCCAGGAAGCTCCATGGAGGCTGTGCTGCCCATCATGAGCCAGTTCCCTGAGATCGAGACCTGTGTGGAGGTGAGCAGGCGTGCATGCAGGGCCAGGCAGGGGGCACTGTGGTAGAGAAGAGAAGGGGCAGCGCCAGGCCGCCCAGTGGGCACTTGGTGCTTGTGGCCTGGGACATTGGGACAGACTAGCTGTCTTTTTGAGGCCTTCCTTGGGGTGGGGGCCGCTGACCACCTCTGCCTGAATCTTTGTTGGGGCTCCTTTGAGTCTCCTGGCATCGGGCACCTCTCTGAGTCTGTCCGGGTGGTTCCCAGTGCTCAGCCAAGAATCTGAGGAACATCTCGGAGCTGTTCTACTACGCCCAGAAGGCCGTGCTGCACCCCACAGCTCCGCTTTATGACCCTGAGACCAAGCAGGTGGGTGGCTGACGAGGATGGGGGTGGCTAACGGGTGGAAGTGAGGGGGGCTGCTGAGCTGGCTGTCCCCACAGTTGAGGCCTGCGTGCACCCAGGCCCTCACGCGCATCTTCAGGCTCTCAGACCAGGATCTGGACCAGGCGCTCAGTGATGAGGAGCTCAACGCTTTCCAGGTGGGGTTCCCATCCACCTCCTGGTGGAGCCCACTCTTCTTGGGCTGCAGCCAGGCTCCATGACATTAATGACCAGGCCAGGCAGTCAATGGCACGGCTGGCTAACAGCAACCTTGTCTTGGAGGCAGAAGTCCTGTTTTGGGCATCCCCTGGCCCCGCAGGCCCTGGAGGATGTGAAGATGGTGGTGCGCAAGCATGTGGCAGGAGGCGTGCGGGACGACCGGCTGACCCTGGACGGTGAGGCCTGGGACCCTGCCTGTCCTCCCGGTGTGGGGAGGGGCTTGGGTAGCACCCACTGCCACCCTTTCTGCCCCTTTCTGAGCAGGCTTTCTCTTCCTGAATACGCTCTTCATCCAGCGTGGCCGCCACGAGACCACGTGGACCATCCTGCGACGCTTTGGCTATGGCGACACGCTCGAGCTGTCCACTGACTACCTCTCCCCTCCGTGAGTGGTGGAGGGGGCTCTTCTTGTCCGATGGTGCCAGGGTGGGGTTGGAGCCCGTGCTTGGGCAGAGGATGGCCTGTGGGCAGGCAAACTTGGACTCATGCTGAGCCGGTGGTGTTTAGCCAAAGGAGAGGCATGGATGCAGGAACCTCGGGGGTTCAGTCCAGCTTGTAGGGGGGTCCAGCCGCACAGGTGGGAGGTGTGTGGAGCGTGGCAGCAACCCTACGGCAACCCCACAGGCTCCACGTGCCCCCTGGCTGCAGCACGGAGCTCAACCACTTTGGCTACCAGTTTGTGCAGAGGGTGTTTGAGAAGTATGACCAGGTGAGGGCGCTGTCACCCTGGTGTACTACTTGTCCTGGTTTCCCATCCTGTCCCCCAGCCATTGTCACCGCAGACCCTCTGCCTGCAGGACCATGATGGTGCCCTCTCCCCGGAGGAGCTGGAGGGCCTGTTCAGTGTGTTCCCAGCAGCCCCCTGGGGCCCTCAGCTCCTGCAAGAGGTCCCAACCAAAGCAGGCCGTCTGCCCTTGCACGGGTACCTCTGCAAGTGGACGTAAGCACTGCCCCCACCTGCCCCCACACGCCAAACAATGTCGCCCTCTCGTGATGCTGCTCCCTCCCCCTAACGCCCCAGCCTGGTGACTTACCTGGACGTCTGGCGCTGTCTGGAGCACCTTGGCTACCTGGGCTACCCCACCCTCTGCAAGCAGGACTCCCAGGCCCATGCCATCACAGGTGGGCGCCCACCCTCACAGTGTCCTGGCCCAGCTCCTCCCTTGCAGCCCCTCACTCTCATTTATCCTTTCCACCCTCCCACAGTCACCCGTGAGAAGTGGCTGGACCAGGAGAAGGGACAGACGCAGAGGAACGTCCTCCTTTGCAAGGTGGTAGGGGCCCGCGGAGTGGGCAAGTCTGCCTTCCTGCAGGCCTTTCTCGGCCGTGGCCTAGCGGTGAGCTTCACTGTGTGCTGGGTGAGGGGCCCCAGCTCCTATCTGGGGTCTCTCAGGTTAGGGGCTTGGGCAGCATCGGGGCCGGTGAGCTGAGGTAACTCCCTCCTTAGCATCAGGACCCCGGGCAGCTCCACAGGCCGCCTGCCGTCTATGCTGTCAACACGGTGCGGGCCAACGGGCAGGAGAAGTACCTCATAGTGAGTGCTGGGGCGGGGGTCTCTGGGGTGGACCCCAGGTACATGTGGGCAGGTCTGTCCCGGTGCAGCCTGGGGAACGGAGCCCCGGGCTTGCCCCTGAGGCCACCCTTTGTCCAGCTGTGTGAGATGGATGCAGAGAGCCTGCTGTCTTCCGAGACTGATGCAGCCTGTGATGTCGCCTGCTTGATGTTTGATGGTAGTGATCTCCAGTCCTTTGCGCTCTGTACCCACGTCTACAAGGCAAGCCCCCGCCTACCCCAGGGTCCCCTGGACAGCGCGGCTATGGGTGGGGGTCCCCCAGCACCTCACATTGCCTACCTCAGGACTGTGCCTCATGTGGCCTCTCCCCCCATAGCGCCATTACATGGATGGGCAGACCCCCTGCCTCTTCGTTTCCTCCAAGGCTGACCTGCCTGAGGGTGTCTCACTGCCTGGCCTGTCTCCAGCTGAGTTCTGCCGCAGGCACCGGCTGCCTGCCCCTACTGTGTTCTCCTGTGCCAGCCCAGGAGAACCCAACACAGCCATCTTCACCCAGCTTGCTACCATGGCCGCCTTCCCGTGGGTACCAGCACCACAGCCCCTGCGGTGGGAGGCCTGTCCCAGGGCACTGACGGTCTCCGGCACCAGGAGAGGGGAACGGTTGGGGAGTCGGCCAGGGTTGCAGGGTGGGCCCGGGTTAGGTGCTGATGCTGTAGCAGGGCCCTCTGGGGCCTGGTCTCACCGGCTGCCCCGTGGTTCTGCCCGCTGGCCACTGACAGGGAGCAGCTCTGTGGAGCTCTGTGACCTTCCAGGAGGTGAGGGGGTATAGCAGCAGGCATCGAAGCAGCATCCTGAGTGTATCTCCAGCCAGCGCCTCTCTCCTGCAGGTGCCTGGTCCATGGGGAGCTGCACCCCACCTCCTTCTGGCTCCGGCTGACACTGGGGGCTGTCGGGGCTGCCGTTGCTGCCGTCCTCAGCTTTTCACTGTACAGGGTCCTGGTGAAGAGCCGATGAGGCCCTGGTACCCTGCAGTCCGGTCTCAGGGCCCCAGGGTGCTGCCGTCAGGCCACCTCGAGGCGTTTCCTTCCGTCTAAACGTTGCTTCTGAGGGCAGACTGCCCACTGCCGAGCCCCACTGGTGGGCTCCCAGGTGCCTTTGTGGGCATGGTGTTGCAGAGACTGTGGGGTGAGGAAGCCAGTGACCCAGACCTGAATTCTCAGTGCTCCACCCTTCCTGGTCCCAGGCAGCCAGTGGGTATGAGGGGGGTCAGAGAGCACAGCATTGAGCCAAAGGAGGTGTGGGCAGGAAGTGGCTGGACCGTTGTGCTGCTCCCTCCCCCCACCACTGGAAGACTGGTCCAGGGCTGCACCCCTTGCGGAAGATGTGAGGTTGGATTTCCTGATTAAACTTAAGTCTTTTCCATCTTGGACCATACTTTCTGAAGGCGGCTTTTCTTCAATCATGTCCTTTATCTCGGTGTGGACATCACCCCCACGGCCCCCCTCCAGGTCCTATATGAGGTATACTTGTGGCCCAGCTGCAGCCTGGGAGCCTCCACACCAAGGTCCATGCTTTCCTGGGGCCCTGATTCCCGAGGGCCTCCTGATACCTGCCTCTTCCCCAAGCCCCAGCATCTACCCTGGCGGCCTGCCTGAGCTGGGGGGAGGATCCGGGATTCTGACGTGTGCCAAAACGCCCTGCTCCCCGTGTGTGGGGTGTCTGCTGGTGTGGAGGAGCTGCCCTGTCCTCCTCACACTGACCAGAGGCCTCAATCATGCTGGCTGGGGTCAGCAAGAGGCCCCAGCCTAAGAAGAGAGGGACAAAACCCTTCTTGGTGAGGAGGAGGTCCTACTTGGGGTTATGTTTCAGCATCTGTCCCAGGAGCTTGCTTTGCTAGTGTTGTGGGGCCTGGAGCAGAAACAGCCCGTGGTGGAACTGGGTGAAAAGCCCTGGCTACGCAGACAGGTGCCCCTCTTGCCATTGGTCATTCCCTGCAGGACAGCTCCTTCCACACGAGGGTCTTTCCTGGAGCCTCTGAAGTGCTGTTTACTACAGGTGGGGAGGGGACTACATGCCCTATAGGGGTGAAAGGTCTGGGGTCAGACTTTTGAAGTTGTACCTCCAACATCCTGCCATCTTCACAGCTACTGAGGTGTTCCTGCTCTTTGGGCCTTTATCCTTCTGAGGCCTAGCTGCCAGGATTAATGGCTCCATGGTTCTGGGCTTCAGAGTAGCCAGTGTAAGGGTTGCTGTGGTAACATCCCTAGTCTGTAACCTCTGTTGAAGGGGGTCTACCTGCTCACCCCAGGAAATAGGGCCCCTTTCTATCTCAGCTGCAGCCTTGCCTCTTGGGGGCTCTGCCCCAATACCCAAGGTTCTACCTGGGCTCCACAGTGCCCTCCTGGGGCTGCAGCCCCCACTGTCACTGGCCGGCGTTGTGGCTGCAGGAGCCTCCTCCGCCCTTGGCTGATTGCCCCGTTGGCCTTGGCATCCATAGGTGGGGCCCTGGCGCCTTTTAGGCTGCCCTACTGCGGATGGACCAGCATGTGTGGCAGGCAGGGGCTTCCCCAAAGAGAGGGCATGGGTGCTGAAGCCTCAACTCCAGGAAAAGGGCGAGCGCAGGAGGAGCTTGTGTGCTGCCTGTGGCTGTTTCCCAGCTGCTGTCCCTTCAGGAGGAGCAGCTATGCCGCCAGGGAGGGAGTCAGGGTTGGGGGAACTGGGATGCGGTGAGTAGGCGAAGGGTACAAGGCGCTGTGGCTAATCTGTCCCCATCCTGGGAGTGCGTCTATCCGCGTGCAGGGCACGCCTGTGTTTCGGCCACGCGTGCGGCAGGGGCGGGCGGCTCCGTGACGCTGCACCAGGCGGAGCGGGCGGAGCGCACGGGCCGGGGCGGAGCGGAGTCATCCGCAGAGCAGCCCCTCCCGGCCGTGGCCGTCGACCCCGGCCCCCGGCCCCGGCTCTATGGACAGAAGCTCGCTGCTGCAGCTTATTCAGGAGCAGGTGCGTTGGGGAAGAGGGGCGCCGGCACCGCCCCTGCCGCGCCCCTCCGTCACTGGGTTCGGCTGAGCAAACGGATCTCGCAGAGCCCCAGCCCAGCCCCCCACTCGTGTCCACTCCTCAAACCCCTTCTTGCATGACCTCGGCCCGCAGTCTGAGACCCCCCTAGGAGAGGGTGAGCCAGGCCAGGGTGCCTGGGGAGGAGCAGGAGGGAGGGCGACTGTCCTCAGACCATAGCCCTACCCTGTCAGGATGGGCAGGGCCAAAATGAGATAGGGAGCCCACTGGAGGCTTGGGACCCAGGCACCAGTTCTCTGGCAGCTCCTAGAACCATGTGGGCACAGGGATCTAGCCCAAGGGTGTTGGGAGACTGCTTCTTCCAGCTGGCCTGCCACAGCCCTTAGGTCTGTGGGCTCGGTCCACCCTCAGGCCTTGGCCAGCGCCACCTCCCACCCCCCACCCCCACCCCAGCAGCTGGACCCTGAGAACACAGGCTTCATCGGTGCGGACACCTTCACTGGCTTGGTGCACAGCCATGAGCTGCCCCTGGATCCAGCCAAGCTGGACATGCTGGTGGCCCTGGCCCAGAGCAACGAGCGGGGCCAGGTCTGCTACCAGGAGCTGGTGGACCTGGTCAGTGCTACAGTGGGTAGGCAGCAGGGTGGGGGCCCAGGACTTGGCCAGCATAGTGCCCTGGCTGGAGTTGGGTGGGCAGGTGGCTCCTCTTCCCTCCCCTTCCCATGGGGCGGGGCCTCACACCCTGTGAGGAGCTGGGCAGAGCAGGCGGGCATGGAGGTCATGAGGGTGGTACACTGTCCCCCGCCCCCCAGATCAGCAGCAAGCGTTCCAGCAGTTTTAAACGGGCCATCGCCAATGGACAGCGGGCACTGCCCCGGGATGGGATGCTAGATGAGCCAGGCCTGGGTGTCTATAAGCGGTTTGTGCGCTACGTGGCCTACGAGATCTTGCCCCGAGAGGTGGACCGCCATTGGTATTTCTACCGGCACCGCAGCTGCCCACCCCCTGTGTTTATGGCCTCGGTCACCCTGGCCCAGGTGAGCCTGCCCGCCTGTCCGCCACCCACATCCCTGGCCTGGCCCAGTCCTAAAGTCATTTTCTCTTAGATCATCGTGTTCCTGTGCTATGGGGCCCGCCTCAACAAGTGGGTGCTGCAGACCTACCACCCTGAGTACATGAAGAGCCCCCTCGTATACCATCCTGGCCACCGTGCCCGGGCCTGGCGCTTCCTCACCTACATGTTCATGCACGTCGGGTGAGTGAGGGCCCACTTCTGGCACCCAGACTTAGAAGTGGCTGTGGCTGGGGGCCTTATGGCTGTTCCCACCCCTCATACCCATTTGCCCCCACATGGCCAGGCTGGAGCAGCTGGGGTTCAACGCACTCCTACAGCTAATGATTGGGGTGCCCCTGGAGATGGTGCACGGCCTGCTCCGCATCAGCCTGCTCTACCTGGCTGGCGTGCTGGCAGGTGAGGCAGGCACATAGCCCCTGGCCACCTCACTGACAGGCCTCACCCTCATAGCTGTCCCCTTGCTTCACACAGGTTCCCTGACTGTCTCCATTACTGACATGCGGGCCCCTGTGGTGGGGGGCTCTGGCGGAGTCTACGCCCTGTGCTCTGCACACCTGGCCAACGTCGTCATGGTAATGAGACAGCCTGGGCGGGTGTGGGAGGGGCCCACGAGGCTAGCCTCATGGCCTGTCTCATGCCCCATCAGAACTGGGCTGGGATGAGGTGTCCCTACAAGCTGCTGAGAATGGTGCTGGCCCTGGTGTGCAGTAAGTAGGGGCAAAGAGTGTCAGGGCAGGGGGATGGAGGGAGGGCTGAGCCCAGGGCCAGGGCACCTCCCCATGTGCCAACTCCCTCTGCAGTGAGCTCCGAGGTGGGCCGGGCTGTGTGGCTGCGCTTCTCCCCACCACTGCCTGCCTCGGGCCCACAGCCCAGCTTCATGGCGCACCTGGCTGGTGCAGTGGTGGGGGTCAGCATGGGCCTGACCATCCTGCGCAGCTATGAGGAGCGCCTCCGGGACCAGTGCGGCTGGTGGGTGGTACTGCTTGCCTATGGCACCTTCCTGCTCTTCGCCATCTTCTGGAACATCTTCGCCTACGACCTGTTGGGTGCCCACATCCCCCCACCACCTTGAGGGGTTCCTGGGGGCCTCATGGGCTAGGGCATGGCCTGCATGTCCACCTTCTGTGAATGTACATCTCAAGACTGCTTCTCCATGAGGGCAGATGGCCCCTGTGGCCTGCTGAGTTCAGGCCAAGCCTTACACCAGCTCTGGCCCCCCTGCCAGGCCTGGGTGGGGGTTAGGACTGCTGGGCCAGGCTGGGCAGTGGAGGTCCCAAGGGTGGCCTCAGAGGTGACCCTATCTTGGCCTTTCCCCCCCAGGACTTGCAGTCTGAGCCTTTTTGGAGAATAAATAAATATTTTACACAGCACCAAGTGGCTGTATCGGGCCTCTGGGGGCTGGTAGGCCCTAACTCACCGAGCAGACTATGAGGGCTCTTCTCTTCGTGTGGGCAGCCTGGATTCCTCCTTGCTCCTCTGCACCTGTATGAGGTGTGTCTGTGTGGGAGGTGGGAGCCCCTGGGGAGGGGCTGTGAACCTTATAGTTGAGTGAGTCCAGCAAGCTTTTACTGAGCTCTGACAGTCACATGGCAGGTGAGCAGGCCACAGCCAAGTTCAGTTGGCCTGGGTCCTGCACTTCTTGGCTAGCCTGGTATTCTCAGGGGTTGCTGGGCTAGGGCTGAGGTCAGGGAACAGGTTGGGGCACAGCTTCTGCCCCACAGCCCAGGTCCATCATGCTGTTGCCACTTGGTGAGGGGTCCACAACCCTAATGTGCTGCCTAGGGAAAGGCACAGGGAGTTTGGGGCTCGGGGCACTGGCCACTCTGCCCTGCGGGACAGATCTGCACATTCCACCCTGATTGGAGTCCTGGATGCCCTCCTGGCCCACCAATAGCCCCCTCGCCTCAGCTCTGGTCTGTGGCATGCCCTGCGCCTGGCCCAGGTACCAAAAGGTAGTACCTGAGAGTATACTGCAGGGCTGGCAGGCCTGGCACTGCCGCATCAGACGTGAAGGCTGCTGGAAGAAGTGAAGGACCAGCACTCAGACTCCGCCAGTATCAGAACCACTTCAGTGTGGGGTGCCATTCCCAGTGACCCTCTGTGTCACCGACATGGTCATTGGTTCGTATCACAACAACACTAACATGTTCCGCCCGTCACGTCCATGTAATCAGCTCTCCTCACTGAGCCCCCCTACAGCAGACTTGGGTTAGGTGGGTGGTCACTGGTAGTGGACTTCAACAGGGGGGCCTGCCCCACAAGCGAGGAACCACCCCCAGGCGAAAGCCCCACCCCATGGCGCAAGGGGCCACCCCCAACGCCAGGGGACCCGCCAAGGTCCCGCCCGCTATGTGGAAACCCCTCACCGCCAGCTTCCAAGCCAGCAGCCGTTTCAGCTCGTCTCGTGTCACGTGCTTCTCTGCGCTCAGGCCTCGATGGCTTCTTGCAAATCCTCTCGATACCTGTGGTAGGGCAGTGATGGTAGGCTGAGCAACGGGGACTGCCCGCCTTACCGATGCCCCCACCGCCCTAATGTACGCCCAGGGCTTCCTGTTACTACTGGGGGCCGTGCTAGTTCACACCACCTGCCTGCGGCCTGCTAGACTGGCTGCCTAACCACTCCGGCCCTCTCGGGCGGGGCCTTGGGTGGGAGTGGGGGGTAGCGGGGCATGGGTGGGGCGGACTTCTGGAAGGACACCTCCCTAATGTGAGGGGCGGAGCTGCCAGGGTAACCCTGGGACATGCTCCAGACTTCCGACATCGTGGTTAGTGTTGTCCCACCTCAGGAGCTCCTCAGCCCCGCCCCGCAGGGCGTGGGGCGCAAGCGTGGCCGCGCCCACCTGCTCCAGTCGGTCCGTCGCGCTTACTCCCCCCCACGCGGCCGGAAGTTCCGGTGGCGGGTCGCTGGACCGGGCCCCGAGCGGATCGCGGGCTCGGGCTGCGAGCTTGTGCTGCGGGCGCAGGACAGGCCGGGAGCGGAGTCTGGGAGCAGAGCCCAGGCTGTGCCGCGCGGCGCCATGAAGGGCAAAGAGGAGAAGGAGGGCGGCGCGCGGCTGGGCGCCGCTGGTGGAAGCCCGGAGAAGAGCCCGAGTGCGCAGGAGCTCAAGGAGCAGGGCAACCGGCTCTTCGTGGGCCGCAAGTATCCGGAGGCGGCGGCCTGCTACGGCCGCGCCATCGTGAGTGTACCCCTGCCGGGGAGGGAACCGGCGTCTGGGCCAGGGGAGGGGGGTGGGGCCTGCCCAGCCACACTCGTGGAACCTTCGGAGTGTTTTGGCTTCAACGGGGGAAGGGCGCTTGGGCTCTCAGGACTCAGTGATGGTCTTGTTTCAAGGATGCCGAGGCTGCAATTCTTGAACCTAGTGCTGGTTGCTGGAGAATTACGACGGGTGGGAGCTTAAGGGCCCTTGAGGCCTGCGGAACCAGGGAGGCCCAGGTCCAAAAGCTGATCTTCACAAGTTTGGGAAACTTACCTTTGCAAAACTTACTAGAGTCGAGAGGGCACAGGCAGGTATCAGGGCCAGACACCATCCTCCACCCATCCTCAGGGTTCAGAGCCTCTGAAGCTATAAAATCCCTTAATGTCTTTGACTCCAACTGTGGACCCCAAGCCAGGACAGGGCCTGGGACAGAGGTGGCAGGTGAGTTCATTTCTCATGCTGACTGGCCTGCCTTGGCACCCAGACCCGGAATCCCCTGGTGGCAGTATATTACACCAACCGGGCCCTGTGCTACCTGAAGATGCAGCAGCATGAGCAGGCCCTGGCTGACTGCCGGCGTGCCCTGGAGCTGGATGGGCAGTCTGTGAAGGCACACTTCTTCCTGGGGCAATGCCAGTTGGAGATGGAGAGCTACGATGAGGCGATTGCCAACCTGCAGCGAGGTAGGCCTACAAGCTGACTGGTTATTGGGGTACCTGGGACCAGACAGGTAGACTGGCCAGGTGACCTGAAGCCTCTGTTCCCCCAGCCTACAATCTAGCTAAGGAGCAGCGGCTTAACTTTGGGGATGACATCCCCAGTGCTCTGCGCATTGCCAAGAAGAAGCGCTGGAATAGCATCGAGGAACGGCGCATCCACCAGGAGAATGAGCTGCACTCCTACCTCACGCGACTCATCGTGGCCGAGCGTGAGAGGTGGGTTGTGGTGACAGCCTCTAGGAACAACACCCCCCCACTCCCACCAAGTCACCACTTTAAGTCATGAATGAACACAAGTGTTTATTGAAGGCCAACCCTGGTGAACAAGAGGCAGGGGAACAAAGTTTGAACAAGCTTGAGGTTGGGGTGGAGTCTGACCTTTCCTGGCCAGACCTCCCTGACCAGCTCCCGGTCAACCTCCAGGGAACTGGAGGAGTGTCAGCGGAATCACGACGGTGATGAGGATGATGGCCACATCCGGGCCCAGCAGGCCTGCATCGAGGCCAAGCACGTGAGGGTGCCCCAGCCCATGTGTGGGTCTGTGTGTTTGCGTGCACGAGACATGAGGGTGTCCCTGGCTTCTGTTGGGTCTGTGACTGGGGAAGGGAGACAGGATGTCTGGCCCATGGGTGGCTGCTTGGTTCTTTGCAGGACAAGTACTTAGCAGACATGGACGAGCTCTTCTCCCAGGTAGATGAGAAGAGAAAGGTGAGTTGTCTGTTCTCTGGGCCTGGGGCCTACAAGCAGTAGGAACTGGAGTGGTGTCCCGTTCCTGATCCCTGTCCTCACCCCATGTAATACAGAAGCGAGATATCCCTGACTATCTGTGTGGCAAAATCAGCTTTGAGTTGATGCGGGAGCCATGCATCACACCTAGCGGCATCACCTATGACCGAAAGGACATTGAGGAGCACCTGCAGGTGAGGGCCATGGGCGCTGGGGGCAGGGCCCGGGCCCACCAAGCACCTTCTGACTCTGTTGTCACTGCAGCGTGTGGGCCACTTTGACCCTGTGACCCGGAGCCCTCTGACCCAGGAACAGCTCATCCCCAACCTGGCCATGAAAGAGGTCATCGATGCGTTCATCTCTGAGAATGGCTGGGTGGAGGACTACTGAGACAGGGCAAGTGGGAGGGCCAATCGTCCCACATTGCCTGGCACCCTGGCCTGGGAGAGCCTCGGGGCAGGAGCCCCCAGCCCCTGTACACAGTTTGTGTACCTAGATCCCTGCTCTGGTGTCCCCATCCTGTCTTCCATCAGTTCTGCTGGTAGGCTATGAGTGCTCCCATCCCCCCCCCCCCCATCTTCTTTCTGGGCCGGAAATAGTAGGCCAGGGTGGTTTGGGCTGAGGCGCTTGCTGCCACCACTGTCCCAGTAATAAAACCTGTGAGCAGTTTAGGGGTGTGTGCTGGTGTGCGATTGCGCTCGCCAGCTGCCCGCTCTGGCTAGCTGAGAAAGGTAGAGATGAAAACGCTGGTGTCGAGGTTGAATGTAGCATGCCACCATCGGTCAGGAAAATATAGAACCTGGATGGGGTGGGGCACAGGGATTAGTGGGGGGTCCTCAGTCCGACTCAGGCTGACTCCCTCCTGCCAGCCACTGACCTCACCAGCCTGGACGGTGCACTCCAAGGGGCGTGTAGATGGTGTCAGGGTGGGGTAGGTATCCTGCAGCCAGGCCAGAGTTGTCTTGTTGGGGTGGAACTCAGGTGTCTTCTCAGGGGGATACAGGAACCAGCGCTAAGGGCGGGAGCAGCAAGGTTACTCTTTGGGTTGTGGCCAGTGAGCCCCAAGTCTCAGCTACCACCCTGGGCTGACCTTGCGACCGTAGATCACTTCTGAGAAGCCAGGCCCATGCCAGTGGAAGGGCACACCAGAGCCAGTTCCTATGGGGTCATTTATGAGCAGCTGGTGACAAAACCTCAAGTGCAAGACCCGTCCCCCAAACCCCTTGGTCCTAAAAGCACCCACCTGCGATCCCAAAACTGTAAGCAGGAGTGGTACCCAGCAGGCTGAATGGGGGTGGAATGTAGTGCCGAAAAAGTGATGCCCATTCAGTGAAATTGTTGTCCCCAAAGAAGTACAGGGTGTCTGCCAGAAAGAACACAGGAGGATGCAGGGATCCTGGCACCTGAGCACTCCCAAGTGCCTCCTTTCCACCCTACTACCACCAATCCAACTGCTCACCATTGCCCAGGGAGTTGGGATTCTGGGGGTGCAGCAGCTGCTCCACATACTCCTGGAAGAGTACGTCCACTGTGAGAAAAGGGCTGGTCAGGACTGACCGATGCTGCCTTTAGGAAGCTGGTCAGCAGGCTAGGCAGGGAGGTGGGGCAGCTCACCTTTCTGGTAGGAGTAGGTATTGGCAGTGCTCAGGCGCACGACATTGTTCCCAAATGAGGCCAGCAGCCTTTCGCGGGAGCACAGAGCCCGGAACCTCTGCAGGGAAGTGGGGGAAAGAAGACTTTAAGCACCTGACTCCACGGGGGTAAAATTTGGCCAGAGGGTAACAAGCACTCACTGAGTTGTCCGTGAGTCCCAGCAGAATGACAGGTCTCGAGAAGGCGTAGCTAGAAGAAAGGGCAGAATCACGATCGGGTCTCACCCACTGCCACCCCCACGTAGTCACTTGAAGAGGTCATCGGGAGGTAGCCTTGGGAAGAGCCAGTAAGCGGCAGGCAAACAAGGGTGTGCCAGCATCAACTCAGGGTGACGGATCTCCTTGACAGGTTTTCGGGCTTGGGAGGTATGGCAGTGTGGGAAGGCTTACGTACTGCTGAACGAACTCGGCATAGCTGAGGTCGGCCCGTCGCTCTACTGTGCAATGGTCTTCTTCCGCCACGGCTGCCGGCGCCCCGGATCCACGCTGCTGCCTGTGGGTATAGCCAGTCAACGACCCGGGCCATCCGGCGGTGCTCCCCCTCCCCCAGTTGCCCGGTGCCGCGCTCACCACCCTCCGTTGTTCTCGTTTGCCGGGTCGAGCTGGGCAGGAGCCGGCAGCATCCAGAGCATGAGCAGCAAGAGAGGACGCACCTTGGGCGCCATGAGCCCCTGGCAGCGAGGCATGACGGGAGCTCCGTTGTTATGGCAACAGCCCGGGCACTGGTACGACTCCCGGAACCTGCCTCACTTGGCCCGCCCACTAAGAGGCGGAATTTCCGGAAAGCAAAGCAAAGATGAGGCAGATGCTAGTGACTTCTGCCAGTTCTCATGGGTACACTGCCCCCCACCCACCAGTGATAACTGGGTAACCTGTGGCGCTACCGACAGGGTGACAGGCGGCTTCATACTGTGGCTCCATTTCCTTTATTTGGTTCACAAGCCCCAGCCTCTTCCCTCCCCCACGGGACGAGTGGATCAGGAGTACTCGCACAGGTGGCCACAACCAGCCGGGCAGTGGGAACTGCCCTCCAGCCATTTCATGATGTGCTGCAGGTGTCCCCCGTGACTGCAGCCCTGGCACCACACAAACAAACCCTTAACTACGTGGTGGCAGACTGCACACATGCTGGCACATCGGTGGCACCTGTCACACACCCAGCCACGACTGCTCATGGGTCGCTTGCAGTGGCTGCAGTTGACGTGCAGGGTGGTGGAGGCCTGGTTGAGGCAGCTGATGGCGCGGCTGGTACTGAGCTTGACTACCTGGTTGGACACGTTCCAGAGGCAGAAGCGCTGCAGCAGGTCGATGTAGGACGTGTACCAGTGCTCCTGGTGGTGCAAGGAAGGGAGGAGGGAGACGGGAGGCCAGGGTTGTGGGCACATTGAGGCGTTTCACCCCAGCATGCTGGGTGCAAACACAAGTGTGCAGGGAGACCATCCCCCACCCAATCACCAACCTGAGTCTGCTCATCGATGTCTTTGCGGACACGTTCACCCAGCACGATGAGCACAGATACGGCCATCTGCACATCACCTTGCTCAGCATAAAAGCGTAGCATGTCACACACTAGGGCGCTGAAGAAGTCAGGTGGCAGGCGGCTGTCGTAGAGTGCGTGTGAGACAGAAATAAGCGAGAAAGAGGAGTCCATAGGTGCCAAGGAGGCCACATCTGCCTCACTACCGCTCACATGGGGCGAGTCAGCCTTGTCCTGTAGGTGTTCAGGGCCCGGTGGCGTGTCCACAATCTCATGGCGCAGGGGGAAGGCCTCCTGGGGCAGCACGTACTCAGGCTCCTCAGCTGCGAAGCAGGGGCCAGTAAGGCAAGGTATGAGCCTCTGGTCCTGCCTCCCAGCTCTGCCCCTCCCAGCCCCGACTCACTGTGTGCATGTTCTGGATCCAGCAGATACAACTCGTCCTCCTCGCCCTCTACATCGCCCAGCAGGTAGTCGGCAGGCACATCACTGCCCTCAGTCTCCTCGTTATCTGCCAGGGGAGGGAGGGATTCCCACTGCTGGCTTGCTCTGGGATGCCCCAGCTCCACTCCCAGCCATGTCCTGTGCTGCCCTCCAGCCTACCCTCATTGGTGATGAGCGTGGCTGAGGAATCGAGCAGCACCGTGTCGCTCCGTGTGTCACCCTTGCTGCGGTCAAGCCGGGTCTCACTACCCAGTCCTTGGGCCATATCCTTCAGATTGAAACTGGGGGCAGGGAGTGCTGATGGGTGGGTAGGCTCCAGCAGCCCCACCCTCTGAGAGAGCTGCCACCAGGGATCTACCTGTTCATGAGTGGCAGGCCACAGGAGCTGCCCTTGCCCACACTGTGGTTGAGATTGGTAGTAGACACCAGGCCAGGGCTACAGTAGATGATCCGTAGCATGGTCCACGTCTGCGCCACCTAGGGGTGGACACCAGTCACTCACAAGGTCCATGGGCCCTATTGCCCCATGCAGGTCCCCACCCTAGATGGAACCAAAACTCTCAGCATTCAGTTGCCCCAATGACCCAATGTCCTGGCCCACCCCAGGTAGGGAAACCGAGGCCTATGGGAATGATAAAAAAAGCCCCAGCCCCTATCTTGCAGGGCATAGAGGGAAGCAGATGTGGGAGCTGGCCAATATGGAAATGAGCCTGGGGTCCCAGGGAGAAGATGACAAAGTGGACCTTGGGAAGTCCAAAGCTAGGATGGGGGCTTAAGCCCTCTGATGCCCCACACCTGTATCCCCAGGGTGGCACTGGTGTCTGCCCGGCTCTGCGGTCTTAAGTACCCTCAGTTATCAGTTATTGGGGTGAGTGAGGGTCAACAGACTGAACTTGGGACAGCGTCTAGGCGCAGCAGTTGGAAGAGCCCCCTGACCTTGACCCAAGGTCATGGCTCTTGGGCCCACCTCAGCCCAGCCCCACCTACCTGGTTTCGGCCCAGCTCCCGAGCCACTTTGGAATTGTGGTCACAGAGCTCAGCCAGTGGCCTGCCGGCCAGGGCGTAACGCTCAGCAGTGTCCACAAACCAGCTCATGCTGCCACCGCCAGGCTCTGTCTCAAAGACGCTGAGGGCACTGGAGGCGAGCCCCGCAAAGGGCTCAGCAGCGTCCAGTTTGCGCTTGAAGAAGATGGGGTGGCGCCGATCACCAGCATAGGGTTTGCGCCCAGACTCAGTGGCCACTAGGCTCTCCTTGGCGGCAAAGGCCAGGTCTCCAAAGAGGCCATAACAGAGGCCCTCAGGGTTGGCACGCTCAACAGGCTGGCTGGCATCACGGAACAGGTGCTGGCACAGTGTGCTGTCCTTGGAGCCAGAGAGCAGGAAGGAGGAGTCATGTGGATGGCGCCAGGCGATGCCTGTTGTGACGTCTCGGTGCTCCTCAAACATGGCTGCAGGCACAAAGGGCCTGCGCACGTCCCACACGTAGATGTTGTGGTCTACCATCATAGAGCACGTGGCCAGGTGGTGGCGGCATTCAGGCCGCCATTTGACTCTGGCCACTGAGGCAATGGTTTGCACACAGTGCACCTCCTTGGCACGTTGCGTGGTCATGTCCCAGACCTTCACCATCTTGTCACGCCCACCTGTGGCCAGCCAGCCCCTATGGAAGGCCGGTGAAGCCCTCAGTTTCCTCTCCTAGGATGAGATGGCTCCCCGACTCTCTGGCTCACAGGACTTGAGGCAGTGAGAGAGCCCCTCCATGAGCACCACCCATCCCACCCTGCTGCCCCTGCCCTTAGCGCACCCCATACCTGTCCTCGGGGTGCCAGTCGCAGCAGAAAACAGGCCCATTGTGGGCTGTAAACATCCTCTCACAACGGTCAGGGCGCCGAATGTCCCAGAGCTGCACATTGCCATTCTCAAAGGTGGAGGCAAAGGTGAAGTAGTCCCGAATGCTGAACTGGACATCCCGCACACTCTCAGACTGGCCTGTGGGCAGAATGTCAATGGAGAGAGAAGATGAGGGGGACAGCCCACTGGGCATTCCAGGAGGGAGAGTGGCCAAAAAAGGGTCCTTGGAGCGGCTGTGGACCCTCCAAGAGGAGAGGCCTCACAGACACAACAGCCTGGGCTGGGGAGCAGGACACCAGACATCGAGTGGTTTCTTTTTAAAAATATATTTTAATTTTATTTTATTTTAGAGAAGGGAAGGGAGGGAGAAAGAGAGACCGAGGAATATTGATGTGATTGGCTGCCTTATGCAAGCGTCCCACCCAGGAACAGAGCATGGAGCCTGCAACCCAGACATGTGCCCTGACCAGGAATCGAACTGGCGACCTCTCAGCTTGCAGGACCTCGCTCAACCAACTAATCCATGCCAGCCAGGGCCAGACATCTGGTAGTTTCTGACACAAACTCCTGGACCTTGCTTTTTCCTGGATTCTTCCTCTGATGTCAGTCCTTGCACAAAGCTGGGGCCCAGCCTCAGGACTGGCTATCAGAGCACTGGGTGAACAGGAGCCTCACTGGGCCGCCTGTCTACACTCCATAAGTGGTACTGAGGACCCCAAAGGAGGCAGAGATGAGGGTACCCTAGCTTCTGCCCAGTCCCTCCACCTTGAGCTGGAGCTCCTGGTCAATTCCAGAGGACTGGAAGCTTTGAGGATCCATATTCACCCCCATAAACTGCCACACCAAGAGCCTTTGAGAACAGTGTCCTGCTTTACCCCAGCACAGGTAGCTCGGGGTCTGTCTTAAGAGACCTCCACCCTCAATTATCCAAGGCCTCTGCCCTGTGCTTCACTTGGTTCCATCAAGGTGGATAAGGGAGAACTGTCGCAACACCACTGCCAGGGAGCTGGGCATTCTGGGAAAAGAACCATGGCGGGGATCAGGCAGTGCACCCCACCTCCTCTGCATCCCTGGGCTGAGGACCTTGGAAATCCCAGAGGACTTCCTGCAATGAGGCAGCCTGGAGCTCTGAGGTAAGGGAAGAGGCAGTGAAACACCATCTGCTCAACCGCCCACGTTGGCTGTGGGCTTGCTCAGGCTCTGTCCTCTTCCTTATCCCATTCCTAGCCTCAACACCTGCTGGCCCTTTGGGTGCATGAGAACTGCAGCCACACTTCAGCTACTGTTCACACTTCAACCAGGTCAGCCTCGGTCCCTCCCCTGTTGCTCCTCAACCCTCTCTTTCAGTCTCAGCTCAGCTGGTTTGTCCTCCAGGTAGCCCCCTGGGAGCACATCTGAGTGTCTTTGATGCTTGCAGCACTTCTTAACCTCCTGCACAGGCCAGCCACCTTCAAAGACTCACACCTGCCCAATCCGCCTCTGAGGGCCTCACCCGAGAAGGTGCTGACAGAGTCCTTTCTGCGTAGGTCGAAGCACTTCATGAAGCCATCCTGGGAGCCACTAAGCAGCACATGGGCCTCAGAGGGGTGGAAGCAGACTTTGTTCACTGTGCGCTTATGTTCTGTAAACAGCTGGTCCTGCTTGTTGCGGGAAGGCCGGCCCAGGTTCCACGTGACTACCACACCATTGGTGGCCGCTGTGGCCAGCAGGTTCTCATCCATCTGGTGCCAGACAACATCAGCGCAGCTCAGATTGAGCGAAGGCTTGCGGCCCACACGCAGGTTCAACTTCTCCACAAACTGTTCTTCCTCAATGGCATAGATCTTGAAGATGCTGCGGCCTGCCACAACCACCTGAGCCGCATCACGGCACACACTGATGGCGTTGGCTGGAGCGTCCAGATGGCAGTGCATTGTATGGCCTGTCAGTGCACTGCTACCCAGGGCTGTGGTCACTCGGGACATCTTCTCCATGGCTGCACAGGTAATGGATACAGGAGGAGGTCAGTGAAGTTGGCTGGCCTGGTCACCATAAGGGCAGGGGGACTGTCAGTTCAAATCCTTCCCCCTGAATGGATACCCCAAAACTGCTTAGACCTGGGCTAGTCAGTCAGTCTGACAGGCAAGTCCCATTACCCTGGCTAGGCGATCAGAAGGTGCTATAGCTGCCCTGAAGCTGCTAAGTCCCATGTCTGACTTGTTGGGGAAGACCCTACCTGGTCAGTCCCAGCCCAGCCCACCTTTCCATCCTCCACCCGCCCCTCCCCCAATCAAATTTAGGCGGTCAGTGGACCTTCAATCAGTCAATCCCGACAGAGAAGTGAGGTGGTTACCACCATCCACGCAGTCGGCTGGAGTGTTCGGGGACGAAGCAGAAGGGCTAGGGAGGCCCGAAGGACAGAGGCGCAGGGGACCCGGAGGGGCGTTAAGACCGAGCCGTTTAAGGAGCCTGAGGGGTCTGGCGCCGGTGGCTAGAAGTTGCGATGACCTGGGAGAGCGGCGGCAGCGGTAACACTGCCAGAGGAACCGAAGAACCCTCTTCCTCTGCGAGCACCCAAACCATTTAGTAAAATTGCCCAGCCGAGCCGGAACCCACGCACCGGAAATAGCCTGTCTCTTTCCCGCCCATCGCCAGAAGTGGTCCTCTCTTGTCAGCTCCTCGCCGGAAGCCGGCTCCCACACAGCAACAGTTCCGGATCTGGGACCAGGCCCGGTGAAGGCGGAGGTTTGGTTCAGGGCTGAGGAGGAGGGGTTTCCCCAGTTCTGCCTTGGTGGTTGGTCTTTTTTTATCGCAGTGTTTATTACCAGTGCTCATCTTTTCCCCATGGACTTTCAGCAAGTCCATGCATTACTAAACGAGTCCCGAATCCTTCCAATCGTCTCTGTCTCCTTCCTCAACTACCCTGAAACTCAAAATCAGGTTTTCCCGGGCCCCTGCTCTCCGTGATCTGAACCCCGCACAGCAGCCAGCTACTACTCTTCGACTAAAACGCCTCATAGCTCCCCACCACATCATGAATAAATCCCAAGCTTCTGGCTTCTTCCGCTCCCCGCGTTCCCCCAGCCACGGCGCTTTCCATTACTTTTTGCAGCCAGCCAAGCTCTTTCTTGTCTCGAAACCACTCGTGGTAGGCTCTCCTCCAGAACACATCTTCTCACCCTTGAGAGTTCAGCTTAAGTGTTCTGTTCTTAAAGATTTTCTCTGGCCATCTCGTCTAACGTGGCTTCTCCAATCACTGCCACCTCTACTTATCACAACCCGTTCCTGTGTTTACGTTATCTTCTATTGCCTAAGAATATGAGCTCCACCAGGCAGTCATCACACCTATTTGGTCTCCACAAACTCCAGTGCCTGACTGCCTGTTCACGCAACCCTGTTCAAGTGACCACCCTTCTCCGTGAATCTCCCTTTTTTTCCTGGGTGAGTTTTGGTCTGTCCCTGATGCACTATGTGGTCTTTTAGGACATCCCTGCTCTTCTATTAACCTCGTTTACCGTGTGCATGAAACAGGGCTCATTTTCCCCTTCTAAAAGGATGGGCTAGATCCTAGGTATTTTGGAGGGAATAGTATGTGTAATGACTTCAGTATCTCTCTCCCCCTTAAGCAGGGAGCTTAGGGACCTCTGCTGGTCACTGCTGGGTTTCCAGTCTGGCACTGTGGCCTCCAGTCCCTGTTTGTTAAGAGAACCAATAAGTTTGATTTGTTGAGAGGTGCATTAGAATCCAGAGACTTAGGCCCTTCAGGGCAGATATACCTTCCCCACCAGGGCCTGATGACCTGAAAACAACTCAGACACGTGTTTTTACAACTTTTTTAATATATATTTTTATAAACAGGTCACATGATAAAATAGCACAAGAAACACTTACCAAATATAAGGTTATATCTTCCGCATATACAGGAGAATGAGGTCGTTATGTACAATAAGAAAATGATTTTAGGGGTTGGTTGGTTTTGTTTTCCTCTTTCCCCTTAATTTTTTCCTCCTACAGTCGTTGGAAATATCACAGCTTCAGTTGCATTAATACTTTGGACAAATGGACAGCTGCCACCTCCCCACTAAGGAGCTGTGGGGAAGGCTGAAGAAACTGGCTCCTGACCACTTCAGCCCAGGAGTCTCCTGCGGGCACTCCAGGGGCAGAGAGATCTTTGGGCTGTTGAACTGTTTCTCTGCTTCAATAGCATCTCTCTCTCTCTCTCTCTCACTCTCTCGTCCTCTCTCTCTCTCTCTGGAAACTGGTTACTCTCTTCCAACCAGATGGGGGTGGGGTGTCCCAAGATTAGATGTGGGCACTGTATCTCCTGGGGTTCAAGGTTGGGAAGGGAAGGGGTCCCAGCCCCCTCCTCAGCAATTGCCAAGATGTGCCAGCATCCCCTAGGACTTCCAAGTCTTGGGATGGGGCAGAACATGGTCAGAGCCCAGTTGGGCAAGCAGGTTTGGGAAGCTGGAGAGGGGGTGGGTGGGGTGGCTAGAAAGGAGCCCTCCCTGTTCTGGGTGCTAAGGATGTGCTGGCCGCTGGCAGATTAAGTCACTGGCTGCCGCTGACCCTGAGCCTTGGCCAGGGCCCACTTTACTAGCTTCTGCCTGACAGAGAACTGCCCAGGGTGAAATATGGTGCTGAGGGGCCTGGGCCCAGTTGGCTACAGGGGCTGCAGTGTAGGGTCCACCCAGGATTTCTCCCAAGGCCTGTGGGCCCTAAGTGTCACTCCAGCTTGGGGTCTCTCAAGGTAGCTATACCACCTCTGCACTGAGATGGACTGGATACGTTGATTATGCCAAGGTTATTGTTACACACTCTGCTCCTCTCCCAACCAAATTCAGCCCCAGTCTAGCCAGGGCCCAAGGACTTGTAGGCCTGCGGGTGGGGGTGGGGCGAGCAGGGGACTGTCTCACACAGTGGCAAGGAAGAGGGGAGATCGCTTGGGTCAGGCTGGCGTGAGGTGGAAGGGTGGGTGGGACTTGGGCTCCTCGGTGGGCCATGGCTTTGACGGAGGCCTGTTTCCCCTTGTACCTCTGGAGGGCTCCAGGCGCCGTGCGGTGGAAGATGAGGGCAGCCCATGGGGCTCTTCCAGGCCCCTGTGTCCTGGGGGACCCAGCCCCCCTTCATCCCCTTGGGCCCTGCCCGAGACGGGGAACAGCCGGGAGACGGCGGGGTGTGGCAGGGAAGGCGGTAAGGACGGCTGTCTGACGAGCTTAAAGCGCCCCCCACGACCAGGCCCGGCCCCCCACCCTCCCAGCGGGCAGGCGAATCATGGGAGGTGGCTGCGGCGGGGCGGGCGGGCGTGCAGGGCGGGCACGAGGGGCATGCACAAATCCCCGAGTGTGCGTGCGTGCGTGGGGCGGGCACCGCCCGTCGCCCCTCCCTGCCTGGGCGCGGCCAGGAGAGGAGCGGGCGCAGGGCAGGGCTTTCCCTTGGTTCGCTCCGCCTCTCGCGCTAGGCTAGAGGGTGCGGAGAGAGGGGGCTCAGTGGCGCCCTCGCGTCCCCGCCCAGAGCCTGGCAGGTTCCTGCGACGCGGGCGAGTAGACTCCGCGCTACTCGATGACGAGGCAGCGGGGCAGGTGCTGTGAGAAGTACTTGAAGAGTTCGGGGGTGGCCCCGGGGCAGTTAGTCAGCTCCAGTTCCTCCAGCTCCTGCAGCTGCACCAGGCCCGACAGCCCGGTTGTGGTCAGCAGTGGGCATCCTGGGAGACACGGGAGTGGGAGGGGGGCGGCTGAGTGGACGGGGACCGGGGAAGGGTGGGGGCAGGGGCGGGCCCAGCCTGATGTGGACCCGGACCTCTTTTCTGACCTGGACCTGAGACAGCTAATCAGCCCCAGGTACAAAGATGCACAAGGGACCTCGCAAGTTTGGCGGACTTGAACAGTGTGTGTGGGGAGGGGGGTGTGTGTGTCACTGTCCAGCAGGGCGGCCAGTGGGGAGTCTCACCTGCCAGAGACAGGAGACGCAAACTCCTCATGGCCAGGAGGTGCTTCAGCCCGAAGTCCTGCACCTGGGCGGAAGGGCGGAGCGAGTTAACTATTTCCGCTGTGCCCTGTAGGAGCCCCACTTCTTGGGTCAGGCCTCTTGCTGGCCTGCAGCTGCTGAAGGGGCAGGGAGCGGGGTTCAAAACGGGGGTTCCTCAGCTCCCCAGGGAGCCAGGAGGCAGCTGGGGAGTGCTGTTGAGGGCCCTGGGGACTCCGCACACTCCGCTTACGTTGGCTGCTGGGCATGGAAGAATCCCAGACTTCCTTACAGGATCTGAGTGGGCCGGGAGCAGATCAGAGGGCTGTCCAGGGGAGGTCACTCCCTGCACCCCCCACCTCCCCTACCTACTCCCCAGTCTCCGGAGGCGTGAAGGGCCAGTACCTGGCAGCACCATCGCAGGTAGAGGCTGCGGAGGGACGACATGGTGGATAAATAGCTGAGGCCAGTGTCTGTGATGCGTACACACCTGTGGTTGCAACAGAGCAGGAATTGCCCACCTTCAAAACACCTCTCCTCGCCTCTCAGCCCCAACCCCTTACTTCCTTCCCTGGAGCACCGCTGGTGTGAACTCACCCCCTGCCCTACTCATAATAGCTCCTTCCTTTCCACAGCTCTGCCTCACACACTAGGCCAGAGTTTTGAGGGCCTGCCCTTCAACCCACTCCCCACCCTCACTGCAGCCCCACTCTACTTACAGATCTATTCACTAACCAAGGCTGCCTGCTTAACCGGCTCCCCTGGACTCCTCCAATCCCTCCCTCCTTGGCCTAGGGGTGGGGGTGCACACACCTGTCCAGCACCAGCTCCTCCAGCCGGTGCAGGTCGCAGGCCACGTACTCCAGAGCCATGTCAGTGATGCGGGGGCACCATGAGAGGTCAAGGCTGCGTAGCTTGCGCAGGTTCTCAGCCACAAGCTCCACACCATCATCTGTGACCTTAGAGCAGCCAGAGAGGCTGAGCGCCGTGAGGTTGGGCAGGCTGTGCACCACGTTGACCACTCCATGGTTGGTGATCTCCCAGCAGGAGAGCAGGCGCAGGGTGTGCGTGCTGTGGCCCTGGCGCGCCGTGAAGTAGGCCAGCGCCGTGTCCGTCACGTGGTAGGCTTGCAAGCTCAGCTCAGCCAGGTTGGGAAGCAGCTGTGAGATGGCTGCGATGGCATCATCGGCCACGTTGATGCAGTCACTCACACTCAGCGAGGTGATGCGCGCACTCAAGCTGGACCACAGCCCTGCCTCAGTGAAGTCGTTGCAGCCGGACAGCTCAAGGCGCACTACACCTTGCATCTGCTCCAGCATCACCTGTGGACAGGCAGGTTCGGAGTCAGAGACCTGACCTTCAAACACACCGAGGTTGCCGGGTGTGGCCCTCCCTACAGGGTGTGGGGAGGAGGTAGGGTGGAAGGAACCCAGTGCGTAAACATACACGGAGCTGTGCTCTCGGACAAGTTCACTGTGCAGTGTGTCTGTTACACCTCAGCCACACTCTGAAAGAGGAGGCAGGGCACAGGGGAACTGGAAACCCAGGGTCTGGCCACAGCAGGTGCCCAGAACAGTTGTGTCGATGATCTGATGATCATGGTCCAGGTCCTGGGGAAGGGGCTGCCTGCACCTCTGCCCTTTGCCCCTGCTCCCCCATTACTGGCAGTATGCTCCCCACTGGCACACAGGGCCCATGCTCAG